ACAGAACAAGGCCACGCTACAGACAGGCGTTGGTAATGAGTGAACTGTTACCAACAACAGAAGGCACAGGCTACGGGGAAAAGCCAAGTTTCCATGGACAAGTGCTTCAGCAGGTATGCGAACTTCATCTGAGTTTAAATGTGGATGAAGAAACACGCAGGGACCAGAACGTCAAGTTCTGACTCCGTCCCTCTCTCTAGAGAGCAAGGCCTTCCGATTTCAAGCCCGGTGTCTACCAAGAGTTGCGAAGTCTGATGTCTACAGGGACAGAGGAAGTGATGTGAAAGAGGGAATGCGCCGGGGTAGGCTGCACAGGGATTACGTCTACAGTGAGCACACTCTCTCCCCCGTGAGAGTCACACAAAACACACAGCCAGCGTGCCACCTCACTTGGCGGGGACATCTCCTGCCCCATGAGGGCCATGGCTGGATAGAAACGGACCTGTCACCATGTCTACTGTCCACTACAATCAGGATCAAGTGGCCCCATTTCAGATAATGACTCACTTTAATTCGGCGTTCTCTTCATTCTGAGGGAAGTCCTACTTGTAAGCTGGTGTATATCCCCCCATGGGAGAAATGCAGAAATTTTCAAAGCTTCTTTTACCCCGAAGGAGCAAAAATGGATTCAAAAGTGAGGGTTCTACATGATTCCCAAAGCGGTGAGATCTGGCACAGCAGTCTTGAGATTTAAATAAAACAAGGAAGACAGAAATGGAGACACAAGAGCCCCGTGTGGCCTCCTGGGAGGTGACTGGGGATCCAGCCACCGAGAGTGGTTCTGTGCCCAAGTGGGACTCGGGAAGTTTCTCCTGTTGGGTGAACATCAACACTAAAAGGGCCCCAGGAGGTTTCAAGAATGAAGAACACACACACACACACACACACACACACACACACACGTGTGTGTGCATGCACAACAGAAGTATCTAGTGCCTCCCGACTTGCATCTCAGTCAACTAACTCATTGGCCAAACAGAGCTCTGCAGTGAGACTGAGTGAAGTTACTTGTGCAACAGCAAAGTTAAATGTAAACATAAACAGCAACAGGGTTTCTTGAGATACTCGGTGTTACTATCGTATGTTGTCCAAGTAATGCACTTCTGGATAGAGACCGTTAACGAGAAGAGCCAGGAAGCTTTTCCCATCTTGGAGGCAATGGCCAGGATGCTTTATAAATTGCGCAGCCTGTGAGATCTGATCCTGGTAGTCAACATACTGCTTGCTTGATGGCAAGGATTCAAGCGCGGTCAGAGCCTAAAAGACACAAGAGGGTTAACCGCATAGACGCATGTTAACGTGACTCCCACAGGGCCAGCACACGTGCCATTACCTGGTACAACTGTGAGCCCCCAGAAGGCCTACAAAACTAGGAATAGAATCCCAGAGGCAGGCACTGACTAACCACGGTGGAAGAAAGCCAGCAATTCAAGTATGTCTGGCTTCAGCCTCCTTCCACCACATCCAGCCCTCCTTCCTCCTGGCCTGTGCTGTTTCCCAACCGTGCCCCACAGAGAGCCCCTGCGGCAGGCAGGCTGGCTGGCTACTGCCTCATCCTCCTTCACTCGGGTGTAAGCAGAGACGTCCCCACCAAACCACCTGCTGCCTCTCCTCCTTCCCAGAGTCTGAAATCCCAGGGGCCAATGGCCTGTGCGATGTTTGATTTGCCGTTGGGTTTGCTCTTAGGTTGTAAAATCCTGTCATATTAAACGAACTGTATGAAATCTAAAAGAAACGAGTGTCTAAGTGCTGCTGAGGATAAACAATAAGGTGGTTCTATCGGCCAACAGAGCACAGATCAAGTTCCTCTGGCTCCGCATGCCAGAAAGAGTACAAGTGCTCCCATGCCCCTCTACATTTCTTAATCCCATAATTTTAAAATTTCTTTCCTTCATAGTGGGAGAAGAGAAAAAGACTGTATTTGGAGAAAACAAAATCGGAACAATATACAAGTTCCCCCACCCCCAGAATGCCGACTGTGGCCATAAAGATCCCCTGTGCCCCCCGCCTCAGCTACGCGGACCGCTGCACCAGAAAACAGAAATTAAATGGTGGAATTTGCTTGGCTCAGTAAACAAGGAGGGAGAAGATTTCGAGGATGGTAAATGAACGGGCAGCTTAGAAATAAACGGCCAGGGGGTCGAACACAGAAGTCCTAGAGTAGAAAATAACAGCAGTTATGCTGTGTGAAGAGTTCAACCTAACAACAGGGATCAACGGGGACAGGCGGCAGTCGCCGCTCTAACGGCTTGCCTGCAGACAGGGAAGGCCCTCGGGAGATCACCCGCCCACCTGTGGCAGTTCAGCCTGGCTCACAGACGGCTTTGGGGTCAGCCCAGGTAGCGCAAAGACCTGTTGTTATATAGACCAAGAAGCCTGCTCTCAGGAGTTAAGTCATCACCCAGCACCTGGCTAGTTCGGACACCGCAAGGCCGCAGATGAGGAGCTGGGGGTCCAGGTGCTTACTGTTCCCCCAGAGGCCTGCAGAGTGCGAAGGGGGTGAGACGGAGCCACCGAGCGAGCCCCGGCCCAGTACTCACAAGTTAGTGCTCCCGCCCCTCTCCGCTCCCCTTCCCTATCACACAACCAGGAGAGAAACTGTCCCACTGTCCGGCTGGTTACGAGGTTCTAGCAAGTGAGCGAACACTTACACCAGGGCCTGCCACGCACTGAGGACTCACGAACGCAAGCCATCATTCTATCTGAGGCACCTCTGTACGCACTCTGCCAGCCCGTTTCCAGGTCAAAACAGTTACGGGAATGGGACCACTGGCTCGGGGCCTTCGGTGGTTTTAGAATAAACTATCATCACAGCTGCCATTCTGTCCCTGTTTGGTCCTTCCAATAGCAGCTAGCCGTGGTCAGCCTCCAGACTCACAAAACAGGACCTGCTTCCTTGGTTCCCAGTGAAAGCTCAGCTAACCTCAGCAGTCTCTGCTGCGGCCCCAGCTTCTGTGCCAGTGCCCAGTGCCCAGCCCCCAGCAAGTGGCCGGTGAGCACAGCCATGTTCATCAGAACCCAATCGGATCCCGGACCAGCTTGTCTGCCCACAGCCTTGCTTCTGCTAGAGCGGCAGAGATGGTGCTCACGACAGGCGCCCACAAAGGCGGTTTAAAACCTGAGGCAGGTACATGCAGTAATCATTTCCCAGCACACAAAGCACACCAAAGAGCTACTTGGGAAAATCACATCCGCGTGCTGTTGTCATGTGTAAAGACCAGCACTGCCACTTCCCGGCCTCCTGCGTAGGCCGACTGAAGGACTCCTACCCTGGAGCTGAAAGCTATTTTTACTGACCTGCTGAGCTTTTGGGGTCAGATGTAATTCCGTGCCAGGCTTCAAACGGATCTGATCCTCCGAAGGAACCTGAACCGAAAGGAAGGCGGCCATGCCTCGAGCAACCACTCGGAACCTTAGGTGTCAGGGAGAAGTCAGAAGTAAATGACTATTAAAGGAAATATTTTACAAATAAATACATTTTCTCTTTAAAAACAAGATAAACACATTTCAGACCTAATGTTGTTATTAGCCTTTGCAGGCAAATCTTAAAAAAGATCAAGAAAGAACATTAATTTTCCTTCCATTATCACTGCCCAACAAGGTAAGCAACATTCAGACTCAAGAAGAAAAGTGCTGCAAGCATGTAGAAATAACTGGAACTCTCAGACGTTGCTGGTGTGAATGTGAGAGATGGGGTAGGAAAGTAGGTTTAGGCAGTTGCTCAGTGACAGAGTGACCATATGACCCAGCAATTCCACCCCTGGGGATATGCCCAAAAGAACAGAAAACAGGTGTTCTAACAAACATCTGTAAACGAATTTCACAGTGACACTATTTACAACAGCCAAAAAGTGTAAACAACCCAAATGCCTATCAACTGATGAATGGATAAACAAAATGTGGGACATCACACAGCGGAATATTACTCAGCCATTAAAAGGAGTGGGGTACAGTTACATGATAAAATACAGGTGAGTCTTGAAACTCCATGCTAAGTCACAGAAGCCAGACACGAGGTCACATACTATATGATTCCATTTATATGAAATGTCCAGAGTAGATTCAATAAAGTCGGCAAGTCAACTAGTGGCTGTCAGAGATGCAGGGGACAGGGGTCTAGAGAGTAACTATTTCAAGGGTGTAAGATTTCCTGTTGGGGTGACAGAAACATTCTGGAAAGAGACAGTGGTGACAGCTGCAACACCATGTATGTACTAAATGCTATTGAATCGCACATTTTAAAAGAGTTGCCATCATAAATTTTATGTTATCTGTAGTCTACCACAATTTAAGTGAGTCAAAAACACATACTCCTGCTAAATTCTATCACAAACAAAGAGACATGGCGTCAACCGGTTTGGACTGAGTGATTCCCAAAGTTGCAACAAGAGGATGGGCTATTCCGTAAGAATGCGGACAGGAGAATCCTAGGAGAATTCTTTCCAACACTGATAAGGGCTTGGAAAGAAAACCATTATGCAAATAAATGAGATGAAAGGGAGGCGAGTAGCAAATGCTTTCATGCTCCGGAATTTCTTAGCAACAAAAACTTAGACTTGTTTCTCGTTATTTACCCTTATCAGTTAACTTCAACTCATCCTGACTTACAGTTCTAGGAGACTGAGTGCCTCGTGGGACCTGGGGGACCTGACAAAGTGTGCAGTGAGGAAGCTAACTGGGGTATTTTAACCTGACCTTGCACACCGTCACTGGCTCAAAATCAGGCCAAAATTGCAGTGTGGTCAGGTTACAAAGTCAAAACACGACAAGAGATATGACTAAGAAAACATTTTTTAGATGTGAAAACAAAGTTGTTTTAAAATGAGAAAAAAATAAACATGTTTTTAAAAAATATAAAAATGTAATCAGGTGCTGATTTTCCCCCTTAATCTATGGGGGAACCCTGGCCCTTAGAAGTCAAAAAACCTACCGAAGCATCACAAGCCCTGAGCAGGACCAGATGCCGATGCCCATTTCGAAGAGCGGTGGCAGGTGCCTCCTTACCTGTTAGACAGGGGCGACTTCCGGCCCAGCCCGATTGCCCCCAGAATCCCAGAGCCGAGCCTCTCCTCGGCCAGCAGGCTCAGCCTGCTCTGAAGCATGAGCAGAACTCGAACGACCGATTCTGTCAAGACCGAATCACACTGCTCCGTCTGCACCAGCGAGAGCTGCAGGACTTGGTGCCACCACAGAAACAGCTTGGCCTCTTCCTGCGCGGAGCTGCGGGGCAGGAGGCGGGCCCGGAGGGAAACAAAATTAGAAGTGCAGTCTTTCTATTTAACTGAAAGTCCACATTTGAATTTTAAGTATAGGGCACACTCAGGACTTGAAAAGGCTGCGCTAACAGGTAAGAACGCAGTGAGTGTGATACACAGCCACAGGCTACGAACCTCGGATACACCTGTTCCAACCACTTGCTTAAGATGAGCAGCACTTTCATTTCGTTCCTTAGCGTCTGCTCGCTGTTTAAGCACTGAAGCAAGTAGACGTACAGAGTCAGGTAACTGCCGAGGGACAGGCACTCCTGCAGAAATTCTTCTATGGTGAGCTCAGGAACTTGAAGGGACACCAGAATGGGGCCCCATCCTAAATTCTGATTGAGGGAACCTAAGAAAAGAACACCAAGAAAAGACAGCAAGATTAAAACAGGAATCAAATTATTTAACTGCTGTCTTGAGTCTTTTCACTTTAGGCTTCATGTCAAGCCCACAGAGGGCCCCGGAGGCCACCCAAGGGAAGCACGGCAGCGGCTCACACTGGAAAGCTCCCGTGCTGAGGGCCAATGCCCCCGCCAGCCACTGCGGAGGGCCAAAATCAGAACTCCGTGTTCTCAGAGTCAGCCTTCTTATCTTTTTATGGTCATTAGAATTGCAGGGAGACACTGCCTGTCCAGTCATCTAAGATTCTTAACTTCATCTAATACCTTTTAAGTATGTTATGAAAATTTACGCTTTTCCAAAGAAAATTATTATTCTATCCTACTGAAGTATTTCTCCTTTTCAAAGCTTTGTTGGACTCATCTCTCAATGGAAATCAATTAAAAAGATTTTTTTATTTTTAGTAACATGAATGAATTTGAAGCAAGAGTGTTATCCTAATGGTTCTCAAGTCTTTGAGGGGAATGACAGTGGGGAGATGGTGACATGCACAGCACCTTCCATGGGGGGACATGGAGATAGGTCACGGGTTTGCCAAGAAAGGGCAGGGGTAGGTTATGGGCACCTCAGCATCCTCGCTCTAATGCCCTTCTTTCTCTCCCACTGTGTGCACAATCATGTGTCAGGGTATGAGTTGAGTTGTGCTAACCCGAGCCATTCTTTTTAACCAGACCACACTGTTTCCAGAATAAGAGTTTAGAGGGAGGTTAGGGAATAAGAAAGATTTTTTTAAAGGCAGGGGTGGGGTGGGGATTGAGCTTTTTGTAATAGTTTAAAAGATGTGACAAAAAGCAATAAAAGACTTACATGAAAACTCATTTTAACAAATGACAAAAATAGAGAAAAAGAACACAGCGGTCTTAATATAAAGATTCTAGTTTATAGCATTTGAAAAGCGTGGCCAGGCCTATGGCTTACACAATGTGCCCACCATAAATGGGCTGGTCTGACGTCCCAAATCACCGTAAAGTGAACTAGGGGTTCCCTCCACGGAACCATGGTTGTACGGTTGTTCTCAAGCTAACTGCAGATCTTTGCAAACAAAACAAAATACAGTATACTCAAGTATTAGCTACTTTAACAAGGAAATCTGTGTGCCACTATCACCCACTGGGGGAGTGGTCAGGAAAGGTACCTCCTTCTGACAAACTTCGCTCTCCCCTGGAAAGGACCCACCGGAAGAGAGCTTCATACCTTCTTTGAAGTAGGCAGTGATGCAGGCTTCCGTGGTCTCAGCCATGTGGCGGACGGAAGCCAGACTCTGACAGGCTGCTGTCAGGAGGGGCAGGACCACCAGCCCGTGCACTTTCTGCCCAATCCAGGTCCGGACACTGCCCCGGAGGAACTCTGCCGTTGGAATAGTCGCATTGTTCATCATCATTAGGACTTCCATGAAGAGGCTGCTGAGGGCCATGTGGCGGGTCTGGCTGTCCATTTCTGCAGGGGAACACAGACACACCGTGAGAGGCCGCCGGAACGCCGGCATGACTGTGAGCAGCCTCGGCTGCACGCCGGGCACCTTTTACAATTCCGCTAGCTGAACCCGAGAACCAAAGCAGATACTCTGCAAGGTGCTTCGCTTTTATGGTTGGGATGCGGCACATGAGTACTTTGCACAGGCACAGCAGGAACCACCGAGACACCCTTGGGAACAGCAAGTGGCCGAACAAGACTTTAATAAAGAGACGTTATCAAGCCGGTGTGAAAGACCAAATTATTTATCAGAACATGCTTACTCAGACTTTAGCTTCCAAACCTTGCTCATCTGGAAAACCAAGTACACAGATCTCAGAAGTCACGTGATAAACTAACTAGAAAAAATACCTCCACACTCACCACTACCAAAGCTGTTGATACTCTGGTGTGATTTACAAGGAAGAGAGGTTATTACTAAAAATAAAATATTAAAGTAAAGAAAAGAAACACCTTTAAACCTTCTTAAAAGAGCTCCTAACTTAATCAGCTCTTATTTCTTTGTTTTTTAAATAAGTGGACAGACTGAAATTTTAAATGGGTCTTTCAAAAAAAAAAAAAAACAGCGATGAAAAGAACACAGCGTGTAAGAAAAAGCAAGTTCACTGTATAAGACACGGCAAATGAGCAGGTCACGGAGGTGGATTCCTTCCTCACATCCCTAAACAAAAACCTTGTTCACCAGGTGTTTGTGGAGAAAACTATCCAAAGGGCTATAGTTTTTGCCCAACTATTTCTAACTCTTCTTGAGCTAGGTAAAATTTTTTAATGGAAAGAAGTAGGGCTTTGTCACCACAAGGCTTCCGTATTCACGTCAGTGAGAGCAGGGGGAGTCTGGGCCTTACTACACCCATCAAATCAAACTCACCCACCTGCAAGTGTTAAATAAACCCTAACGTAATGTTATTTTAAGACCTACTAATGATCAAGCAAGGACTTCAGAAACCAAAGCTCTAGATGAAAGTTCAACAATGTTATGTGTTTAAGTGTGTATTTCATTACGTATTGCCATGGGTACCGGCATTCTTCTCTAAGGCCTTATCTCCTTATCTCTGAATTTCAGCTCAAAAGCAACTGTAATTTTAATGTGCCTTTTCAGATGACTCATAGGAACAAAAAACTTACGCAGTAAGCCTCCTAATAGATTCTACCCTCTCCTCTCCCTATGCATCAACAACACAGCCAACAAACATTCTCTTAAAAACCGTATCTGCTCCCGTAACTCTTCTGAGATTTCTCTAGAAGGACCTCCTCTCCTGTACTTGGCCAGCCATTATCTGACCTTCACAGCCTAAACACATTTAATCAATTCTAAAACCGTTTCTCTGGTATCACCTGCTAATTTGTCTTTTTTTTTTTTTTTAACATTGACTGGGTGTTACTGGCTAGAGGGGCTGATGCTAAAAGGTCGGGTGCACTGTCTCATCCCAGGCTTACAATACCCATACGAAACAGGTAGTACGACGATCATCCCATTTTGCAGATGAAGTTATACAACTTGTACAATCACACAGTCAGCAGGTGGAAAACCCAGGCAGTCGGGTTCCCGACTCTGCTTTTAATACCATATTATATACCATTCTATACTGCAGGTATGTTTAAGAAATTTCAACCAATTATTTCAACTCAGACAGTGACCCCAGCTTTCAATTGCTATGCTTCCCTCAATACTGCAGTTGCCTATTTTCAAACGGTATTTAAGTAAACATTAGAACGTTTGTGAGATCCATCCACGTGCTGGCCGATTTTCACTGCTGAATTCTATTACACGAATATACTACAACAATTCATCTACTGAACACACGGGTTGTTTCTGGTTTTGGACCCGCTCAGATGCATAGCTACAGCAACTGTTCACATCTCCCAGGGTACAGGTGCATTTCTTTTGGAATATTCCAAGGGGCAGAATTCTGAGTCCCAGGATGCACAAACTAGTAGATGATGGATGCCAAGTTTTAAAAATGGTTGTACCAGCTCCTCTGTGGCCAGCAGTACATGAGTTCCACTGACCATGTACTCACCAACCTGGTATCAAAACCTTAAGTGTACTCATTCTGGTGGGTGTGTCATCACCTGTCACTAAGGGTTGAATCTGCATTTCCCCGGTGATTAACATCGTTAGCACCTTTCCGTAAATATACCGGTCATTTAGATAATCTCTTTCATAAAATGTCAATTCAAGGGACTTGTTCATTTGTTCTACTGGGTTGTCGTCTTCTTCCTTCTTTCATCCAGTGTGGTCATTTCAGTCACTCATATTTAATGTAATTCCTGATGTAACTGGGTCTAAATCTACAACCTTAGAATATACTGTCCATTTATTCCTCCAATTCTACATCCCTTTTTTGATCTTTAGTTCATTATTTCTTATTCTTTTTTTTCTCTTTTGGTCTGGAAGCTGAACACATTCCAACATTCTTAAGAGTGGTTGCCTGACCAACTGTACGTGCACTCTTGACTTTCCAAAGTCTGAATGTTAACCAGCTCCAAGACGGTGCCAGGGCTCTGTAACACTCTAACTCCCACCAGCTCTCCCTGCGGGTGTCTTAACCCTGGCCGGCGTTACTATTACTACTGTTTTAGACAGTCACGTTTCATGTACATTTGCCTACGTGCTTATTTGCCATTTTCACTGATCTTCACACTCACTCCCTTCCTATGTACATTCTCTGGATCATTCTCTCTCTCTTTCCACAGTCTTTGATTGTATTTTACTGTTCTTTTTATAACTTAAGCTGGATTCTTATCTTAGTAACCTTCGTCTTTTTACAATTTTAATATACGCATCGAAGGCCAAGAAATTAAGTCCCACTTTAGCCACACCCCACGGTTTGGATACATTCTGGTTTTTTATCCAGTTCCAAATCTTCTAAATTTCTATTATGATTGTTTCTTTGCTCAACAGTCTGCTTCTTAATTTCCAGGGTAGAGTTATAGTTTGTTACGGATTCCTAAATTTGCTGCACTGTGGTTAGAAAGTGTGAGGTCTGTCGCACACTGGTCCTTTGGGATTGGTGGAGACTGCCTCCAAGCTGATCGAGGGTGAGGGTCCTTAGCCATTCTGTGGGGGACTCACACCGTGTGAACTCTCACCACGTTAATTATGCACATACAGGGCACACACATCCTTGTCCACGTGCACACTAGACCCAGCAAGGCCCTTCAGGCTTCCTACAGCCTTACGGATTCTCCTTCAACTTCTTCAACTACTGTGAGATATAAGGCAAAATCTCTTACCGTGAGTGGATCTGACTTTTCTCTTCCTAATTTTGTCAGTTTTCACTTCAGGTATTTGCAGCTGCTACCATGTAATTAGGTACAAATACATTTATCATTATTATATCCTCCTGGTGAATTAAACCTGTTATCAATTTTCAAAGGCTCTCTAACGCTTTTATTTATTTATTTTTTTAATCATGCAACTTCAAAGCAGGAAAACACCCTAGAGATCATCTGGCTCTGTAACGCTTTCTGCCTCACAGTCCTATCCGTCCAAAATTAATCTACTACACCAGCTTTCTGTTTTAGTAATCGCCTGATATGACTGCCTTATCGAAAGCTTTCTAGAGCCTACACTCTGTATGTACTTTTTAGAAACAGCTTAAAGCTGGATGCTGTTCATGATTAGTCCAGGCTGACAAACTTTGTCTTTCAAGCTGAGTGTCAGTCCACTTACATTTACTGATGTACTTAAACTTTACTATCTTATTTTGGATATTTTTCTCACCTTCTCCAAGCTTCTTTTCTTGTCTTCTTTGGACCAAATGCATTTTGGCCATTCCTTTTTACCTCTCTCCACTAACTTGGAAATTATACATTTTATTTCTATACTTCCGGTGAATTTCTTAGCAATTTCAACATTCACATTTTATCAAGATGTAAATTTAATCAATTTATTGACCTCTCGAACAATACTAAAACTTTAGAATGCTTTTAACTCAACCTCCTTCCTGACTTACGTATACTTGTGGTCATACAGTTTGATTTTAGCTTTTGCTTTTTAAACCACTAAATGCATGACTATTGTAGTTTTCCGTATGTGCCTAACATTTTACCACTTTCTCTGCCTACTTTACCTGTTTATAATCCAAGCCTTTTTACCTGCGATCACTCTACTTCTACCTAAAAACCATGCTTTGGGATTTCCTTCAGTGATGTCCTGGGGACAAACACTCTTTTCAATGAAAGCACCTTTAGATCACTCTCACCCTTGACAGATGGTCTCTCTCAGCTTACAGCTCCCGGTTACAGGTCATCTCCTCACAGCACATGAAAGCTGTTCCACGGTCTCAGCTTCCTTTGTTGCTACTGTGAAGTCAGTGTTCAGTGTAAATGTTGTTCCTTTGCAGGTGTCCTTCTGTCTGTCCATTTGTCCCTCCTTCCTGGATGTGAAAATTGTTTCCTTTGTTCCTGGTGCTCGTGTAGCGTCACCACAGTGTGAAGTATGTAGAGGTGTGAACTTCTCTGTCCTGCTTAGGATTTGCGGGATTCACTGAACCCAAGGAGTGTTGTGCTCATCAGCCCTGGAAAACTCAGCCCGGCTGTCTCTCCGGCTATTACTGTCCCCACCCACCCCGCTTTCTGTCTGTCCTCTCTGGGAATTCTGACTAGATGACTGCATGTACGTTCCATCCTGGCCTATCCCCTAGGCCCTCTAACCTCCCCTCCACGTTCTTCATCCACCCGCTCTACATTCTGGATACCACCTTCATATTTATTCTCCGGTTTACTAGTTTTCTCTTCAGATGAGTTGAACCTGGTGTTAAACTAACCCATTAAGTTTTTATTACAAGTGTTGTATTTTACATTTCTAGAATATCGGATTCTCTCTCAAAGCTATTTCTGTAATTTCTTGCTCTTTATGGACATTTTCAAATCTCTCTCATTCCAACAAATAAATAAAAGTACCTTTTTGTTTACTGTGCTAATTATTCCAGTATCGTAAGTCATTCTCTATTGACTTGCTTGTGGTGCTTTGTTTCCTTGTGTGTGTGTGTGTGTGTTTTCCTTGTGTATTTTATGACTTTTTTTTTTTAAACTCTGAATTCATATTCCTTGGAACTCTGAGGCCAGAGCTGAAGATGGGTTTCTCCAACACAGCTCTGTGGGTGCTCTCCACCAGGCATCTAATGGCATTGCCAACCCAAAACACTTACACTCAGTTCCCAGGTTGAGGGATTTTTCTCTGGACAATCTAGGTAGTAGGAATTTGTGCCTCAGACCCATATGAGGGTCAACTTGTGCCTACTATTTTTTCAAAAGAGGTAGCTCTTTCCCCACCACACAGACATCTGACCCAACACCCAGATCAAACAGATCACTGTCTTTGCTCTCCTCTCCCAGGAGCAAGTTTATCTCCAGCTCATCCTTACACTGAGGATGCCATTGTGTGGGCGATGCTCAAGAGCTCCTTTCAGGCCCCCATCTCCAGCAGGCCCTGGGCTTTAGTGGCTGCCAACTCCACCCCACCCCAGTTTAAGACAGTTCTGTGGAAGTCTTCAGGGGGGAGCCAGCTTCAGCACTCCATCTCCCTTGACAGGCTCCTCCTCCCACTTAGCTTCTGACTTCTAAGATTTTCCACCACCTCATGACAAGTTTCATTGTTGGTTTCTTAAAAACATTTTGTCTAGCATTCTTAGTTCTTTTCAGGAAGCAGTCAGGATACCCCATTCACCAACTGCCAGGAGCACGAGTTCTCCACACAGTTTCTTTACACGTCTACAGGCGACTCTGAAGGGCTCTTCCAGTGAGGAGCAAAAGCATCTTGGAATGCCGCACAGGGGCGGTCTCTGGTTCCCTCCTACTTATTGACTCCAGCTGTCTAGCTAGGTCCTCAGTCCCGTTAACCTCACCAGCATCTGACAGTGTCAACCCCTCCTCAAGTTCTTTTGTGCCTCCCCTGGTGGTGAGATGACAATGTCCCTGGGAGCCTGTCCTCTTTCCCAGAACCACTTCTGTGGGGAACAAGATGGAAAGTGTCCTGCCCAGCACCCCCTGATCTCACAAGGCCTCACACAGCAGGGATTCACCCATGGAACGAAGATATGACTGCCCGTGGCCGCTCACCAGGTGGGTTAAAGACGATAATATCATCCAAGAGCTTAGACATCTCCTTTTCTAGGACGGCTAAGGTGATTTTTCCATTTTGTTCCAGGGAGCTGAGGAACTGAACCATCTGATGAGTGAAGGCTCGGCACTTTGGAACTGCATCCTGACAAACAACAAAAGGAGAATTCATAGAATCCACCCCAGCCGTGTTAACTGAGTTTTCCCTGGGGGTGTGTCACTGCTCTGAATGCTTCTGGAAGGAGAGGCGGGGACACAGCAGGAGGCCACATGAAGACAGGTATGTGTCTAAGGGCCCTGTGTCTAGGGATATGCAAATCTGTGGTAACACTCCAGACCCACATCCTCCCACATTCCAGAACACTCTTCTTTTTCACTACATCAATAGCAACTTAACTACACACTGATTACTTGCCAGAAACTTTTCCAAAAACCTCTATGTTCACTATCTGATTTAACTCTCACAACACTTTGAGGCAAAGTATTATTTCCAATTCAGAGGAGAAAACTGACATCAGAATGGCAGTAAGCTGGGGGCCAGAGTTTGTCAGGCCTCAAATGCACGCTCACACCTTCGCTGCCATTCTGCCGCCAACGACATCCCCATCTCTAAACCAACAGCCGCCGCCCTCGGTCCTTTTGACCTCTTGTTAGCGTGTGCTACCGCTACTAAGTGAAGGTTTACCAAGAGAGGTAGTTAAAACTACAAGACCTGAAAGGCCAGAAGAGGAGTACACCATGGCACACATCCTCTAACATCTCAGCTGAGCCGTCACGGGGTTTGAGACCGTCCTCAGCAGCACCCCCACTACCATGTCCTGAAGAACGCTCTGCCTTTTAAAGCACCCGCTCAACCTACAAGATGTTTCTGGCTGTCAGTAGGGACGGAAAGGCCCGCAGACACTCTCAAGAGCTTCATGATTAGTTCCGCAGAAGATTCCTTTGCCAGGATGATGGCTGGCTGGTAATGGCTGCTGAAATAACCGAGCACGCTCTGGTAGGACACGGTATCCACGAGATGCCACGAGAGTGAGCTTGCTTGTCCAAGGAGGTTCAGGAGAGGTGAATCCTAAAAATACAACACATCCTCCTTTAGTTTCGGAGTCCTCACTTTCCCAGAAATATGTATCTCTGGTCAACGGTGATCACTAAGATGGTCTACATGATAAGCACAGTTAAGATGTCAAGTAAGTATCTCCTGAAGCTAGAAATACTCGTGAAAGTAATAGCCAAGGTCTTGGCAAAAACAGATTAACTTTTAAGTATTCAAAACCCAATTTTCAAAGGAAGTCTCAGATCTACTGGTAGAACTAGCAATTAAGGAGATGTAAAGTCAACCTGACGTGCATTCTCTAACTCGGTGTGTTTCCCTTCATAACCCAGAACTGGACTACAAACGATCCCAGAGAATCAGTTCCCTGTTGAAGGCACACCCCGTATGCCAAGCAGATACTCACAGTGACAGGTGTTAGGGAAACAAGTGAAAAGCTACAACCTCGCAGGGAGTACAGCCCTAGGAAGCCTTGCCAAGCCTTCATCACAGGCCCTCCACACTTACTGGTTGGTCTACCAGCTCATCTTCCTTTGCCAATAAAATCATCATGAAAAGGAGGCAGACAATCATGCTCCGGGTCTCTGGGCGGGGGCTGGGGCTCCAGGCATCAGACAGCACACTGACCCAGTTGACTTCACACAGGACAGAACCCAAAAATAAGAAGCAGCTCTTAGGGCTTCCTCGTTCCACCTTAAAGGGAAATTAATCAAAATCAATGTTTTCCTTTAAACTGTGTTACTGAAAATGTATATAAATCAATGCCTACTAAATTAAATTTTTAAAAATAACTTTTTTCCAATTATAAAAATCATCTACGAATCCCTCCCCCCAAAGATTTAGACTTAACATTTGTAAAATTTTTTCTTCCATGCTCAGTGAATGTGTACGTTTATCAGCTTATTTAGGGTTCATTATTTATTCCACTAATTCTCAACAGGAGAGGAATGACCTTCCATAGCTTTAAGCAGGGTGGCAAATGTCACCAATGCTCAGGGGACTCCATCATGGTCCTCAGATGTGCTAGGACAGAAAAAAGGTTGAGATTGGGGTGCCTGGGTGGCTCAGTGGGTTAAAGCCTCTGCCTTCGGCTCAGGTCATGATCCCAGTGTCCTGGGATCGAGCCCCACATCGGGCTCTCTGCTCTGCGGGGAGCCTGCTTCCTCCTCTCTCTCTCTGCCTGCCTCTCTCTGCCTACTTGTGATCTCTGTCAAATGAATAAATAAAATCTTAAAAAAAAAAAAAAAGAAAAGAAAAAAGGTTGAGATCTACTAGTCAGTAGTTCCTAAAGCTGATCGTGCATCAGAACCACCTGGAGGACTCACTGAAACACAGATTGTGGGACCGCACCCCCAGAATTTTGCATTTCCTCCATCCAGGGTGAGAGCAGGAATTTAGATTTTTAAGGAGCTCCCAGGTGCTGTGGACACTGCTGGTCCTAGGACCGTACTTTGAGACCCGCTCTAGTACTGTATATAATTTTTATACTGCCTTTTTGGCATAATGTTATGTTATAAAAATGTCTCCACATCATTACGCTTTGTGATTTTTGATGGCTGCCTAATGTTTAATTAAATCCTATTTAAAATAGATCTAAAATACATTAGGGATGGGTGAAGAACGGTAAATGTATTTTACAGTATATAACCAACGTCAGTTACTGCTTACTAGCCTACTTCAGCATGTTTAAAATAAAACATAGCTAGCTATAAATTTTTCTATTTAAAATGAAGATTAAAAAGCTCTACTCCATTTATAAAATCACAGTCAGTGCAATCTGGTGATGATTCATGCCCTCCCAGAACGACCATCATTACAGCATGCTACCTGCTGCTTCTCTCCCCTTCTAGAAAATGATTCCTCATCCTCCTTTATCACCTGTTCTCTCTCCTCACTCCAAACCCCTCAAAACACATCCCTTCCTACTCCAGCAAGACACACAGAGCTGAAAGCTTCCCGTTTCCAGCCAGGTCAGCATCTTCTTTCACTAGACAAAAATTCCTAGACGCACCGAGTCTACAGCAACCCTCAGGGGCCATGCTCCCATTTCATCTGTCACACAGCTGAGGCCGGGCGCTGACGTAAAGCTACCCTACGGCTCTTTAAACAAATGTTAGTAACGGTGATAAATGCCTACTCAGGACCTATCTCATATACTAAAGCTGGCCACAAAATCGCTAAGCTTCGCTTTCTGAGATGGCTGTGCTGGGCCTTCCAGGACGCACTTCCAACTCCTACAGCATTATTCCCTTATGCACCCGCTTAAAGAAACTAATGGCTTGAGTACCAATTACACTTTGCTTTAATAGAACATTTAACGACATGGAAGCCTGAAGATACCGTCCTAGAAAAAAATGTAAACCCACAGACACCAAGACTGAGCACAACAGTCATTAAACTACGTACTCATACAACAATGTTATAGAAGTACAGGGGTGACAGCCATATGACAGTCAAAATCCTTCCCTGGCTTTATAATCGGTCCTACAAATGTCTTCCAGTCATCTCCTCCCACAGTGAAATGATTTCCACGGAAGGCTGCTTCCCATAAGCACCCCAGACCACCCAGGACGCGGACATGGCCCACTGTGCGCCCACAGCAGCCGTGCCTGACAGCCACAGAGAGCGGTCTGCTCCCGGGGAGCCAGGCTGCGACGCGGGGAGCGAGAGCTCACTTTGAAGAAGGCCTCCATGAGCATCTGGTCAGGGTGCAGGTCCCTCCACGGGAGTCTGCGGTAGGCACTGTGGAAGGCGTACAGAATGAACTCCGGCATTCTGGGCGCTGTGCACACTTCGCAGTAATGCATCAGGTGTAACCGAAGGGCTCCATCATCGCCCGGCAGCAGCTTATCTATAATGCAAACGGGAAAAACAGCTGAAGACCTTTCAGGTTATCTTTAAAAACAAACACAAAACAAAAATGTGAACTAAAAATCTAAAACCCAAGGTTCTCAATAATGACCAAATTTCAAAGATTTTCATGTGCCAGGACAAAAAACACTGAAGATAATTTAATAGCAAAGACCAGTATTGCAATTACTTACTTGGGGAACGGGAATGAGTAGCTGGTAGGTGGGGGACAGCAGGGGCGATCAGCTTTTCTTTAAAACTTCTAGCTATATGGCTTTTTAACTCCAATACACTTGCACAACCCCAACCACCCCAGGTGTCCCTCCAGGCTGTTGCCCTAAACAAATACTCACTCCCCAGCATGGAGGCTTATTCATTCGGCCCCTTGGCGGATTCCAGTATCGCTCAAAATGAAATGTTGCACGTGACTAAAATATGACCCATAGTGCAGTACAACTAGACGATTAACTGTCAGTCAGCTAAGTTATTCTACAGTGACACTCCTCTACAACGTGGATCACTCAGGATTATCGCCACCAGTATTAATTATCTCAGTGCCCCCAAGAGTGAACGCCAACATAATCTAAAACAAAACTTTTCAGCAGTTCTGGTTCTATACATGGGAATGAATGTAGTCAAAGAAGAGAGAGCCAGCCTCCCACAACAGAAACCGGATGGTGGTTCTTAGTAGTGGCTTTTGAGAAATGACCAAGGATCATCAACCCATAGTATCAATTCATTTACCATTTCCAACATCCCTGTGCCCTTGATTCACAGTCCTTACTTACTTTATTCTACAGTATGAAACAGCAACATGTTTTTAACCTTTTAAGACAAGGTAAGGGTAGCATTTATTTAAATATGAATAAAAGATGGTTTTGTTTAAATCCAAATATGGATATGTAGGTAGGTGTCTAAAAGGCAGATGTCTCTTAGGACAAGACTTAGCCGAGACACACGTAAGTTCTGTGAGATCAGATAAATTCATTTTTCTTTTCGGTTCTTCATTTTCTCATGAATAAAAGGAGAGAGCTGAATCAGAAGATCTCAGTAAAAGGCTACAATACTTCTTCCTGCTTTGCATAGTTCTGTTTCCTCACCTTGAACTCAGCTACCAATTCCTGATGTTCGCCATGAACCCTCCTGTTCCCTCCTCCCACTCTCCCATGTGCTTTCTCTCTCTCTCAAAAAAACACTAGATGAGGTACATCTAGACAATGGACCATTGTTCAGTGCTAAAAGGAATGAGCTGTCAAACCATAAAAAGACTTGGAGGAACTTAAATGCATATTAATAAGTGAAAGAAGCCAATATGAAAAAGCTACAAAATATGAGATTCCAAGTATTTGGCATTCTAGAAAATCTGAAACTATGGAGACAAGAAGAAAAATCAGTGGTCACCTAGAATTCATGGGGAGAGAGGGCAAGTAGGCAGAATAGAAAGGATCGTTGGGGGCATGAACTACCCCATAGGATACCGTAGCGGCGGACACGTGCATCACACAGCTGTCGAAGTCCTCAGAACATACAACCAAGAGAGAACAGTAACGTAGACTATGAGCTTTGGGTGACGTGAGGTGTCCGTGTAGGCCCATCGGCGGCAGCAAGCACACCGCTCTGGTGGGGGACGCTGACGGGGGTGGGGGGGTTGTGTGTGTTTGGTGGGGGGGCGGGTAATATGGGCACTCCATGTACTTTCTGCTCAATTCCGCTGTAAACCTAAATCTGTTCTATACACGCACGTTAGTTGTTTTTCAGGACCGAATGCCACATTGTTAGGTCGGTGATTATGTGCCACACAGACATGGGGCAGCCACAGAGGCACACTAGTCAGGAGGTGCCCAGCAGGCTGGGGGTCCTTCAGAACGCACTGCAGCGCCTGTGGGGAGCCCACAGCTGGGCACAGAGCTGGCCACCTCTGCCTAGCGTGGGAATGGTCGGTGTGGCATCTCTGCCCAGCACTCGAGGCTGCTGTTTGCCCCTTGGACGGAGCCGCACCTGCTGCCCTTCCTTCCCACTAGCCTCTCACAGGAGTCACACCTGGATGGGGATCGGAGGGCGCTCCTTGCCCACCCCCACTCCTCTCCCTCTGATCTGCACAGCCACCGCCCCAAACAGGTCTCTGGCGCTGCAGTTCCATCACGGTGTCTACCCCACAAGGACTCAAACCGCAGAGCTGTGCTATGAAGATTCAGAGAAAGGAGAGAGACACATGCACATAAACACACGTGCAGAAGAACCTAAAGGACCTGAGGCTTCATGTGGTAGTGGAATCAGGATGAGCAAGGGCAGTGAGGGGAGGGCCAAGGACATTCGCAGAACAGGATCAAGCAGGATGGCTGGAGTGGAAGGCTTCCATGAAGAAACCATCACAGAATGCTGAAGTACACTGGGCCAGACACACCGGAATGCTGGCCTGAAACATGACACTTAAAAGTTTGGAAATAGGAATTTATAGGATATAAACACTATTTCACAATTAATCTAATCAACAGCCAGGAACAGAAAGTGGAGACAGAAAAAACAGGGCAGTTCCAAGAATCTTGGAGGAGGGTGTGGACAAATGTCTTTATGAAGCTCCTAATACAAAACATGTAGATATTCTAAGTAAAATAAAACACCTCTGAGATCACACAGCTGGGTACGCTCGGTAGAAGAAAACAGGGCCAGAAGCAGGGACCAGGAGCAAAGAGAGACTAGGAAACCCAGGTACTGAACAGACATCGAAGCCTCGGCTTCCCGTGGACTGTGCTTCCGTGGGGTTCTAACAGCACGAAGAGTCACCCAGGGTCACTGCCCTCTGTGAAAGAGCAGATCAGGGAAAGAAAGGGACCTCCTCTGCCTTCACCCCTTGACTCAGAGTCGAGGAGGGGGACAAGTTGACTATCATCACTGAGGCCAACTACAAGTGAGTCTGGGGTCTGTTTACAACATGACCATGAGAAACCACAAAGGAAGGGCCACAAATGCAGATTCCCTCTGCAGGACACACCCTCAGCCCAGTCTCAACAGAATGCCCACACAGAGAATCTCTCTAAATGTGGGCTCACAGTACAAAACTTTAAATCCATGAGGAAACAAGCCTCCCAGTATGAGTCTGAGGGAACACCTAACTACAGCATAAGCCATCCCCAATAGGAGCTTTAGATCATTATTACTGCACACAGATCATAAAGGAAAGTATGCTTAAAGATTTCAAAGAAATAAAAATTAGAATTGTAAACAAAAGTTATATAAGATGCTATGAAAAAGGAGCAGGAGGGGGTGCCTGGGTGGCTCAGTGGGTTAAAGCCTCTGCCTTCAGCTCAGGTCATGATCTCAGGGTCCTGGGATGGAGTCCCGCGTCAGGCTCTCTGCTCAGCGGGGAGCCTGCTTCCTTCTCTCTCTCTGCCTGCCTCTCTGCCTACTTGTGATCTCTGTCCATCAAATAAATAAAATTAAATTTAAAAAGGAGCAGGATAGGTTTGAAAAACAAACAAACAAACATGACTTCTAGAGCTCAAAATAAAAAATTCAGTTGTTTGTTTTTGGATTTTTTTTTTTTTAAGATTTTATTTATCCATTCGACAAAGAGAGAGAGAGATCACAAGTAGGCAGAGAGGCAGGCAGAGAGAGAGGGGGAAGCAGGCTCCCTGCTGAGCAGAGAGCCCAATGTGGGGCTCGATCCCAGGACCCCGAGATCATGACCTGAGCCGAAGGCAGAGGCTTAACCCACTGAGCCACCCAGGTGCCCCTGTATTTGTTTTTAAAGCAGGTTAGACACTGCTGGAGGGATTGAATAAACTGCAGAAGAGTCCTCAAGAATTCACCCAAAATGAAGCACAGAAAGAAAAAATGAAAAAGAAGTTAGAGTTATAGAAGGCAGAATGAGCTTCAGCATGAGGGACAGAGGGTATGTGAAGAGAATGGCTGCCTGCGGTCCAAGGCTGATGCAGCTCAGAGCTACCTTACAAACAGTAAGAGGTTACAAACGTCACACTGACCTTCTCTGGTCAAAGATGACTGCCTCCCAACTAAAACAAAATTAAACAAAGTAGGAAAAGTAGAGGCAAAAGAGAAACCAAATGATTTAGGGAAAAAGTGATAACTAAGCAGAGACACAACATAACATCTTCCTACCTTTAAAACTCTCGTGCAAGGAGTTGATACAGTCAGTGAACAAGCGCACAACGCTCAAGGCCACCACAGCATCACTTTCCAGCCAGGGGTAATGTCGTTGGCTGCTTTCAATAAAAGAAGCACAAGCTTAGAAAGGAAAGCACCATGGTTAAATCACTCTAGATCCCAGGGTCTAGGAGCTGCCTCAGTCCTACAGAACACTATATATTATGGAGCCCCAAGACACACTCAGACCACTTGAGCCACTGTGAATTGTAGCTCATAATATCAACCACACAATTTTATTTACTTTCCTTCTAAACCTTTATTCCAAAGCAATTAAGTTCCAGAGGGTGTTGTCTACATAGATTAACACCCTTCTATATCCAATTTACACACTTGCGTATCTCGGTTACATTTCAAATGCCTCAGATATGTGCCTCTAAGTGGCTTCAACAATTCTGTCTACTTAAAACATGGAAAAAAGAAAAAAAAATCCATGTAACAGAAAGATGGCCACAAATGGACAGGAGATAACCAAAGAAAAAAACTCTTAATATGATCATTTTAGTTTCTGAGTTGGGTCCAGAAACCTCAATACCAAAAGAAATCCTATTAATTCTTCCTGAAAATAAACAGCACATCCTGCCTTACTGCCAGCAGTCTGAGAGTCAGTGTGGAATCCTAAAGCTTGTAGATTAAGGATAGTCCACTAGCAAAAGCAAAGATCCAGAAACTTTTCTATTTTCCTCAACGAGCTCTTGGAGCAGCATGGGTTAATACAAAGATCTTGACAGAGATGTCAGATGCCCTGAGCTCTGTTCCCGGTTCTGGCCCTCACCACTGGTGAACTAAGAACAAGCCACTCGTGTTTTCTGAGTCTCAGCAACAGACTGATATTTGTGAGAACACCTTAAATACTGTGATATCTAGCACTGCTGTAATTTTAACAAACTCCTGACAAGTTCACCTAGCTTTCCTTGCATGCTTTTAGGGGAAAAAAGACGCAGAAGGTAACTCCCTGCATGCAAACGGTTCTCCACCCCTGTTTTAAATGTTCATAATATCATGTTTTCATTTAATCGCTGAGCTCATGTGAAAGGGGATCATTCCTCCCAGTAATTCAAAAGCCAATTTAGTCCCAAAAAATAAATAACTGAGGTACTGCATAAAATCCAGTTAGTCTCATATATTACAGTAGTATATTATCAAAATCTAATTCAGGAGAGTAACATCTGTTTTTCTGAAATTAAGTACCAAAATTTATTCAACATCTTTTTGTAGAAAACTGGAAATGAGTATCTATTTTGCTTCCAAGGTAACAGATCTGATCAACCAGACTAACAATTCCAGAAGCAGAAAATGTCTTAAGTTTCCTTTCTAAGGAAGCATTTTCTAAATTTAATATGGCCCTACATACAAAATGAAATCCATGAATGCATCCCTTTTGCCAAATACCATCAGAACTTTAACTCTGTAAATTTCAAAGGAATATGAATATCTGAAAAATGATTTACCTTTCATTGTCCTCTAAAACGAAGATCCACGGCTTAAAAAGCTGGATGATAACTGAATGTAGAGACTGCAGCACTAAAAAGAAGGCAAAATTTTTAGAGACAAGAAACAAGCTCATCCTTCATCAATATCATTAATAATGCTAAAAAACACCTACTTATTATCTGTAAACTCACAAACCTATATTGATAAACAACACAGTGCATGTAACTAAGTAAGCTTGTGTTTTCACTTGCTGCAATGGAATTTCTTGAAGAATTTTTTTTTAAAGATCATTCATTTATTTATTTACTTGACAGAGAGAGAGACAGACAGCTAGAGAGGGAACAAAAGCAGGGGAAGCAGGAGAGGGAGAAGCAGGCTCCCCGCTGAGCAGGGTGCCCGCTGCGGAACTTGATCCCAGGACCCAGGAATCATGACCTGAGCCGACAGCAGATGCCTAACTGACTGAGCCACCCAGGCGCCCCTCAAAGAATTTTTATTACAACACAGTGTCATGGATAATTTTACACCATATATTTTTTTAAAAGATAAATGTTTAAATATTCAGAACCCTTTTCCAAATGAGAACAACAATAGGAAGAAAGAGCCAGAAACTGAAATCTATCTGTGTGTGCCATGCCCTATGAAGGAGGGGCAGAGACAAGCTGAAGCAAGCACTCAGTGTGCGGTGAACATAGGTATGACACTTAGATGGGTTCACACCTATGCTATATATTTCCTATTTCTTCTTCATGACACTCAAATATCTAGTTTTATTGTTAAGATTTAAATCTCTTTATGTGTCTAATCAAGTCTCTTATAATGGAAGGTCAGAGCACCTCGCTCCGTGGGGCATGAAGACATATTACCTGTTTTGCTGCTGGCAGATGGGTCCTGAGCCAGGCAGGCCATTTCGCAGTCAAGAAGCCGTTTTACAAGATAGCCCAACAGCGTCTTCATATCAGCCATGTAAGGACTCCATTTTGAGAACAAACCAAAGCTTTTAAAGTCCAATGTGGATAACCGAAGCTTATAAAAAAAATTTGAAAGCCATTGTATAGTCTCCGTTATCTGGAAGAGAATGACAGGTCAAAGAGTCCTTACTGAAGGTCTACTTTCAGCAGAGTACTAGACTGTGATGGAGGGCTCAGACTTTGTAACAGAGCTGCAAAGGTGTTTGCATAGGAAAAGTAAATCAGCAGATTTCAAACTCTTTCTAGAGCAGAGGAACCATTCTTCCCAATACACTGTCATGCGGACCCAAACCACATAATGTGGATGAAACCGAGGCTCTGTGGGACGCTGCATGAAAACCTGACCGCAGAAGCCAGAGGCATGGGGCTAAGTATCAGGTGGGTAAGCTGGGGAAGGCAGGTACACCCAGAGGGTGGGTCTGGGCTGCTCTTGAACGGATAAGCAAGACAGACTCTGAGGAGTGAGAGAAAGGCAAGGGGTGCATGGGAGGAAGCAAGCGACTGACAAAAACACAGGGCTCTTAAAGATAATGCACGGAACTGCAGCTTTTTAGATAAAAATTGCGAATGTGTCCCAACTGTTTAAAAAACAGAGAGCAAAGGAAACAGAAAAGGAATGCAGAGATATAAACTTCAGACACCAAAAGCTACACACCTGCTTGTCAGACAAGAGAACATCCGGAGAGCTTTGAAGCACCGAGCTCTCTGCAGAGGCTGCCCCCTGCTGGCAGTTTGGGGCACAGCAGCCCAGGGCTCTCAGAGTGGCTTTCCAACACTCAGGGCTCAGCAGCTGCTCCGCAGAGCCTTATGGGGGCAGGGACAGAAGACAGGAGGTTAGCATCTTTCACAAACTAATTTTTTCAACTTGAATCAAATAACATGTGTACTTTACAAAGGAATGAAAATTAAATAAAAATCCAAAACAAATTCACAAAGACCTAGGGTGAAGAGACTGCAGTCAAGAGAACCTACGAAAAGGACTGTCCACCTGGACACTTGACCTTCCTGGTTCCTAGTAACCGTGCTGGGAGTGAGCACAGCCAGTCGTCTGGGCTGGAATCCAGGGGGATGAGTGGGAATCCCACCTACCAGCCCCTGACTGGGGACCAGTCAAGGTACCTTTCCTGGCTGAAGCTGTGAGAAAAACAGTAGTAACAGGACAAGGGAGACTGGACTGCAGAATTTGAGTTCAGAGTCTAGGCTCTCTTCTCATGCCTGCCCCTGAAACTCCACTCGCACGAGGGGCAAAACCTAAAGCAACACAGAGCCAGTGTGCTAAGCAGACACTACCGCCAGCCCTCTGCTCCTGGTCAATCACACTCCAGAGGCCTCCACTAATACCTCCCCCGGCCCTTTCCACCCAGAGCTCGCATGATCACACAGGATAACAGGATAACCGAGATCTGAGGGGAGACTGGGCAAGGCAGCTGCAATCTGCCGAGTGGGAGACGTCTAAGAACAGCGAAGAGTCTGTGCTGAAGGGCTACGGCGGTCGGGCTCTCCCTGGAATCACGTTACAGGTGGGGGAGTCGCGCACGCCTAGAACACGGAAGGGAAGCCGGGAAAACAAGGGGCTCGTCCATGAAGAATGAAGAGACGAGACAAGCAAAGGGACAGAGCCCCGAGAACACCAACGTGGCGGCCAGGGAGGGAAGGGAAACCAGGAGGCTAGAGGTCATGGAATCAGCCAGTGATGGTACTGTTATTCTTAAGCCTTTAACTGAATTACTTTCCTGGTAAGTATAAATTTGCTGTTAAACGCAAGTCAGTGGCTGCCTATACACACTGCTTACAATCTCTTAAAAAGGCTTCAGGGAAAAAAACCACGATATATACTTGATCAAGTTCTGAAAATTTAAGAGCAAAAATTAGTTATATCAGCATGCATCAAAATTGTACAAACACATCTCCCTACTACCACTCTCCACCCACCCTGCAACTTGCCCCCACAAAAACAATGAAAGCTTGAAGTGCTCTGAAAACGAAAGCACACATGTCAGTATTCTTCAGGTAGTTCAATATATAAAATCATCAACTTATTCACTAAATGGTTTCTACTGAGTAACACAAAAACATGGCATAAAGCAAAACTTAGTTTTCCATTACATCTATAAACTGTACCAAGTTCACATAAAAAAAAGTAAATGCTATGGCATTCTTCAAATTTCAATAAAATTCCTGCCTAGTGAAATTCCGAAAACAAAAAAGCTAACAACCTTTCACTCCTCTTCTAATCTCCAGTACTCCAGTGGAAAATTGCAGGGCAGGAGGGAAAAATAAATAGCGGGATATAGAAAATTGAACACTGCTCTTTCCCTTGGTGAATATAAAATACAGGCTACTACTACATACAGATAAAGTACACTTGCAAAAAAAAGGAGTCAAAAAATTAAGGGGGAGGAAAAAATAAACTTGATCCACTATTTGGATTTACAGAGAAACCAGCTGGCACAGCAAACATATTGCAAAGGAGCAATTTCCTTTTCTTACCAAATCTGTAGCTGGCAGAGTAAGCAGGCCCACTCCTACCCCAGCCCAGCTCAGGACAGCTGCAAAGTCAAGGGAAAGAAGTGGGTGCATGACTGTGGACTGAACCAGGGACCATTTGAACATTTAAGACAATAACTGACCTATTCTACAGACAGCAGCACCCTTTCGGGCACTGTTCGTCAAGCACTTTAGGTAAAAATGAGTGATTCTAAATTTCCACATACCTGTCTTATTTTTACATTTTTGGATGACAACTGTAGAATGGTAAATGTCATATTAAATATTCACTGCAATCTAATCAGTACAATTAAAAGACACTTACTTTGCATCAGCAGCCTGAGAATGTCACTGTACTGGTCAGGGAACTGGTAGAGAAGAAGGTAAGTCCAGTGCTTACAGAAAAGATTAAATGGCATCAAAATATCTTCATCTGGTTCAAGGCCCCAGGCAGTAAGTGCCAAATGAATGGACTCCAGAAGCCTGGTACGATCAGACAGAGGAGGTTTAGTGGCGTTTAACCATTGCTTAAGATCGAACTAAAAAGAAAAAGAAACAAGAAGCAGTTTTACTGACACCGGAAAATTAACCAAAGTAGAGAAAACTATGTGCAAATTTAGTTTAAAAGTCAAACATCACCTAACATTTAGCTTTGTATAAAGACTGAAACTAGGGGCGCCTGGGTGGCTCAGTGGGTTAAGCCTCTGCCTTAGGCTCAGGTCATGATCTCAGGGTTCTGGGATCAAGCCCCACATTGGGCTCTCCGCTCAGCGGGGAGACTGCTTCCCCCCTCTCTCTCTGCCTACTTGTGATCTCTGTCAAATAAATAAATAAAATCGCTTTAAAAAAAAAAAAAGACTGAAACTAAAAGGTAATATACAAGTACTTAAAGGAGTCTACGCAGGCCAATAATTACAGGTGTCAGTAAGCTGCCACCTCCACGTCACCCTGTGGGATTTCAGGGGCAGAGTATTCTTAGCTCCACATGCTTTTTTGCAATGTAAGAATGTTTGGTTAAGTTTTCCCTGCAAGGCAAGAATCAGAACTCTGTAGTCCTGCCCCATCGGTCACAGGGGCAGAAACAAGCACCACTTTATGGGTCTGTCTCCATCTGATACAGTCACATTTCTGAGTCTGCGGCAGTAACCTATCTCAGTTAATAAAAGTTCAGGGTGTTATCGATCACCTCCCAGAATTTCCAACTATAAAATAATGTCTTCTCCCCATTACCGACTGAGAGCAGTCTCTGGGCCCTAAAAAACGCCTAGGTTTTATGATTTATAGATGTCAGAGAAATACAATTGAAGGCACAATCACTAAGGCTCTGCAATTCTCAAGTGGTTAAGTAAATTCATCGCCTGGGCCTAGGTTAATATTTTACTTGGAATGAGGACAAAGGCAATTTGCTTCTATCTGGCTTATTCCAAGTATGAGAGACTTTGATATATGACATCTCATTTATCAAACACATTTCCAGCATAAATTCAGGATATATTCAAAAGAAGGATGCACTAAATTACTATTATGAATATTTCAAGGCTGTACTGTTTCTAAAGAGGGCTTGGGAGTGAAGTCCTTTTTCCACCATGTGGAGTGAGACTGCCCTACACAACACAGCCACTGCCCCCACAAGATGGGGATGAGGCTGCTTGAAGATGATACAAAATGTGGAAAGGGTCTACCAGGAAAAGGAACTCCAGGGAGGCCCTTCATTTCTATGGAGTGGGAAATAACACTAGAGCCTACATTTCCATGGTAGCATCAGAACGAATCACAAGTCACCTTGGTCAGCAGCATGAAAATCATATCACTGTTGTCCTCACTTAGAAACTTCACCACTTTCTCATAGAGCTGAATGAACTCTGTGGGCGCAGCGTTGGGAGTGAAGAAAGGAGACAGCAGAGAGCACAGCCTTCTGTTCTTCAGAATGGTCTCCAGTACTTTCCTGCATTCTGACCTAGTGCCGCTGATAAACACCTTGAAAGAATTAGAAAGGGAAAATGTCATCAGATTCTGCACTGCTGCCCCCCCTCCAAATTTTTATTTAAGCAACCAAGCTTTAAGGGCTAATATAGAAGGCAAACAGAACTTTTTCTAAATGAAAATGTGAAACAATCAAAAAAATCTAAAATCAACACAGATAACCTAACACTTCCAGTGATGCTGATATTAAAAATTCTAGATTATCTGTGAACTTGATTTGGACAAGCCACAGAGAATTTTTAAAAGGTTAAAATATTAGGATAATATTAGGATAATTTGAATCCAGAAATTTGCAAGGTACCTACCATGATTACTAAGCATCCCAAGTGACTCTGCATTTTGTCAAGAAAATAAAACCTCTATGTTATAGGTTTTATTGAGATGTGCTTTTAATACTTTTAAAAAGCTAACTTTAATAATTAATATATAATCAAGATAACTTCACCTTGTTTTAACTTGGTTCTACTATTTTAAGTACTGGATATAAGTTTTTAAATAATTTCAGGGTCAAGTATATTGCATGGAGCACGGGGTGTGGTACATAAGCAATGAATCTTGGAACATGAAAATAAAAATAAAATTAAGATGTTAAAAAAAGGCTTTGATAAGCTGGATCATAGGCAGAAATAATAAAAAGCAAGACTGAGAGATCTGAATATATAAAAATTTTAACCTCCATAAGGCAAAAAGGATGATAAAATTAAAGGAAAATGACAAAGTAGAAAAACCAATTCAGAACACATTGCAGATACTAGGGTGATAGAGGAGCTCTTTCAAAGCAATCAAAAACAGAAATTCTACAACAGAAAACATGCAAAGGACAATAACCAGCAAATCACAAGAAATAATTAAATGGCCAATACACATATGGAAAATCATGCAAGTGAACAAGTGCTTAAAGAAATGTAACTTAAAATAATAACAAAGTTCACTTCCCCAATTAGATTAGAAAGACTTAAAAAGAATAGTCCTTCCTCACACCGGTTACGGTTTGGAGACACTAAATTCAAACCCTGCTACGACAGTGGCGACAGGTAAAAACTTCCCAGGAGGGCATTGTCACAATCTGCATCAAACACTAGTCCCTTTGACATAGCGACCATACTTCTAGGAAATCATCCTGGAAAAAACAGTCCCAACAGTTCACAGAGATGTGTAAGAATATTTATCTCAGGCGGGGTGCCTGGGTGGCTCAGTGGGTTCAAGCCTCTGCCATTGGCTCAGGTCATGATCCCAGGGTTCTGGGATCGAGCCCCACATCCAACGGGCTCTCTGCTCAGCAAGGAGCCTGCTTCCCTTCCTCTCTCTCTGACTGCCTCTCTGCCTGCTTGTGATTTCTGTCTGACAAATAAATAAATAAAATATTAAAAAAAAAAAGAATATTTATCTCGGGCTCACTGCAGCAAAACAGACTACCTGAATAGCCAGCCAGAGGGCTCGGGCTCAACACATCACAACGTATGGGTACCAGGGAACACCATGTATTAAACACCATGAGATCAGTCTGTATTTGTTAACATACAATAGTATCTAAAAGTTGTGTTTGAATGAAAAACAGGTTACAAAACAGCACTTGCCCATTTCTGGGTATATATGTCTATCCCCATCTATTTAGTTATATGCAGGAATGCGGTACCATTTCTACACAGGCACACCACATACACTGACATGCAAACATACACAAGACAAACTATAATAGAATGTTAGCTAGGTAACCAGTATCTTCAGGAGGTTAGAATTCTGAGAAATTTTTCTTCTTTATACTTTTTATACTGTCTGCATATCTCATGATAAGCACACATCAATTTTAAAGTCAGGAAGAAAACTTTAAAAAATCTATCTTAATATCTGCTCTGCACCACCTCCTTATAAGTATCCAATAACTAAGTACTCATTCCATTGCAACTTGGTGAGAGTACCTGGTTGCTGTTTACACATTTTCCATCAAGTGGCTTTCCTTTCCTCAAGGACATATTTCATAAATATGCATGGATACATTGCTCTCGCATTTTTAAATATCCATATATTTAACAGTTAAGTCAAATAAGTAAACAAATAAACAGGGACCGAGAACAGCAACCGGGAGGCAGCAGCGGGGAGGCGGAGTGAACACAGACTGCTATGGCAGAAGACCTGGGATCCAGGCTCAGCCCCAGCACTGACCCGCTGTATTCTTTTTTTATTTTTCTTTTTTTTTAAAGATTTTATTTATTCATTTGACAGGGAGAGATCACAAGTAGGCAGAGAGGCAGGCAGAGAGAGAGGGGGAAGCAGACTCCCTGCTGAGCAGAGAGACCGATGCACGGCTCGATCCCAGGACCCTGAGATCATGACCCGAGCCGAAGGCAGAGGCTTAACCCACTGAACCACCCAGGTGCCCCTGACCTGCTGTATTCTTTACGCAAGTCATTTCATCTACTGGAGACCAGTTTTCTCATCTCTAAAATGAGAACGGCATCGATCACATAGTCACTGTGAGGATGGACTAGAGAGCGTTTTATAAACAATAAAGAGATTCATCATGTTACGGTTAACAACTCCAAAAGTGTATGCAAGTGTGATGTCTCCCCAGAGACTTTCCAATATGAATAACTTTGTATCTCTTGTTTGAGAAGCAAAATTCTATACCAACAATTTTAATCACATCTTGAGAGAAATTAACAGTTCAAAGGGCTTCTGACTTACGAAAGAGTCCGACTCTGTGATGTAAGCCTGAAGTCACCCCTGATCGTAACCGATGAGGCCGCTACAGGAACACAATGTACATGAATACGGCTAAAAACACACAGAGACCTTACCTGGCCCAAGATCTCAATGCACGATGTAAAGAACTGCCTTGTGGGAGGATGACGCTGAGTTTCATCACAGACATAATCCACAACCGTAAAAAAGAGGCTAATGCCAACCTTCTGTGCCCCGGGGGTAGGCTGCAACTTGTAGGCATTCACTAAGGCCCTGCGGGAAAATGTAGGTGAAACACTGGTCTACAGGAGGACAATCCAGACTCACAAGTGTTTCTCTGGTACTCTACGTTTCTCGGGCAATATATATATATATTTTTTAAGATTTTATTTATTTGACAGACAGAGATCACAAGCAGGCAGAGAGGCAGGCAGAGAGAGGAAGGGAAGGAGGCTCCCCGCCAAGCAGAGAGCTCGATGCGGGGCTTTATCCCAGGACCCTGAGATCATGACCTGAGCCAAAGGCAGAGGCTTAACTTACTGAGCCACCCAGGCGCCCCTCGGGCAATATTCTTAAGAGTCCTTCAGAGCTCCATACAAATGTCACTTTAAAAATATTCCATGAGGGGGACACCTGGGTGGTTCAGTCAGTTAAGTGTCTGCCTTCAGCTCAGGTCATGATCTCAGGGTCCTGGGGATCGAGTCCCATCGGGTTCCTTGCTAAGCAGGGAGCCTGCTTCTCCCTCTGCTTGCTGTTCCCCCTGCTTGTGCTCTTTCTCTGATAAAGAAAGAAATAAAATCTTTAAAAATATATATATTCCATAGGGTGGGGGTGCCTGGGTAGCTCAGTCACTTAAGCATCTGCCTTCGGCTCAGATCATGATCTGGGTGTCCTGGAATGGACCATGCTCAGCGAGGAGCCTGCTTCTCCTTCTGCCCCTCCCCCCACTCATGAGCACACACTCTCTCTCTCTCTCTCTCTCTAATAAATAAATAAAATCTTTAAAATATTCCATGGAGTAAGTATCTTCCAACTTGGCCCAACACTTACTTTTTTTAAATTTTTTATTTTTTATTAACATATAATGTATTATTAGCCCCAGGGGTACAGGTCTGTGACTCACCAGGTTTACACACTCACAGCACTCACCATAGCACATACCCTCCCCAACATCCATAACCCAATCAACACTTATTTTTAATACACAGAAATGATTTTATGTCCTCCTGGAGGATTGGGGATCAGCTGTATTCTTTTTTTTAAAGATTTTATTTATTTATTTGACAGAGAAAGAGAGCACAAGCAAGGGGAGCAGCAGAGGGAGAGGGAGAAGCAGACTCTCCGCCTAGCAGGGAACCCCATGTGGGACTCGATCTCAGGACCCCGGAACCATGACCTAAACCAAAGGCAGAGGCTTAACCATCTGAGCCACCCAGGTGCCCCAGGGATCAGCTGTATTAACATTCTTACCCTTATCAAAATTATCCTTTCATATTTTATATGTAATTCATATAAATTATTCTTTCACTTTGTATATTCCTTACCTAATACATTAATACATTATTCTTTCACTTTGAAAGTTTTTCCTTACATAATACATATTTTTAAAAACAAGAATCCTGATTTCTCTAAATTTTAAAATCCAAAACACTGAAAAAGATTTCTGTACAGAGTTAAGACCCTAGAATAAGGATACCTCTTTTAAGTCTCATACTCTTTTGAGTTCCTTTGCTAGTAAAAGAAACTCCTTGTTAGCCTCATCTCCTTCTTCCCAGGTCCCCCAATCCAACCTACAAAAGGGACGGCAATGCTCTCCTCTGTACCACCACCCCAGTCTACTGGGGGATTAGTTGCTGGTTCTAGAATGTGGAGTTACCTTAAAGTCAAAGGCAGAGTCAACCCCTCTCCCAAGTCATGCCCTGGTGGCTTTAAGAAGAGGACATTGAGTGTAAGCCGGAAGCTCCAAGAGAAAAACCATAATAGCTAAATGCAAGAGAACAACTACACCTGAGAGCCCCATTTCCCCTGAGCAATTCCACTTCAAACTCTGCTCGGCGATCGGAGTTGACAACGATGACTTTCTGGGTAAATATAACTTTAATCTAAAACTTAACTCCATGTCTGAATTTCAATATGCTGTCATCTCATAATTCAGGGGTCAGTAAACTTATTCCATGGAGGACCAGACAGTAAATATTTTTATGTTTTATGGGCCATAAATTGTTACAACTATTCAATTCTGCCATCACAGCATAAAGCCATACACATGAAGTAAATAAATGGGCATGGTTGTGTTCCAATAAAACTTTATTTATAAATCGAGGTGGCAGGCCAGATTTGGTCCAACAGCCATTGTTTGCTAATCCCTGTACTAATTTAATTAGTGGGTGCCTGGGGATGTGGTGGTGGGTAGGATTACTAAAAGTAATAACAAAACAGAATTTTAAATAATAATGCCCTCAAAACTTACGTAATCAAGTTTTCTGCGTGGACTGCAGCTTCCACAACATGAAGTGACGGTGGTTTAGCAGCTTCGGCTTGCAACTGCTTCACTTCTTTTCGCAAAACATGAAGCTGCTGGTTTATTGCTTCATTCTTATGCATACCTTCAAACTAAGAAAAATTTAAATGGTCAACAGACTTCTTGGTTCCTATTATGTTTCTAGAATAAATACTACAAATATACTGAGTATTTGATGAAGAATTTTAAAACTAATATAACTCAAAATTCTCAGATGAATGGGACAGGGGTGGGGAAAAAAAAACATGTCAAAAAACTATTTAAGGGGTGCCTGGGTGGCTCAGTGGGTTAAAGCCTCTGCCTTCAGTTCGGGTCATGATGCCAGTGTTCTGGGATTGAGCCCCACATTGGGCTCTCTGCTCGGCAGGGAGCCTGTTTCCCCCTCTCTCTCTACCTGCCTCTCTGCCTTTGATCTTGATCTTTGATCTCTGTCAAATAAACAAATAAAATCTTAAAAAAAAAAAAAAAGAAAGAAAACTATTTAAGAACCTCAGTTTTTCATGAAGAATCAAACCTGAGTCAGTTTATCACTGACTTTTGTAGGATATGTTCTCTGTCACTTGTGTTTGGACTCCCCAGCTCTCATGAAAAACAGACTTGTGTCTTCTACCGCTGAGGTTTCCCTTGAAGCACACAACACCCCTCCTCTGTCGAGCACCTTCCCCAGAGCCTTGACTCCTCTCCATTCTCCCCACCCAACATCACACACAGTTCAACTCAAAACACTAAGGCTGCACATCTCATGTGTAGACCATGACACAGATGCTGTTGATAAAAACACTTGCCATTTTGAAAGGAAGAAAGGACATGCAATTATATTTATTTATTTTTTAAGATTTTATGCATTTGACAGAGAGAGAGAGAGACAGCAAAAGCAGGCAGAGCGAGAGGGAGAAGTAGGCTCTCTGCTGAGCAGAGAGCCTGACCTAGGGCTTGATCCCAGAGTCCAGGGATCATGACCTGAGCCGAAGGCAGCTGCTTAACTGACTGAGCCACCCAGGCATCACAGGATATACAATTATAAAACAAACAACAAAATAAGATAAAATACAGGAAGTGCACACATCAGCTGTATGCCTACAAAAGGGTAGTTGACTGATTCAGTGGTCCCTGAAAGCTCATCTCTAATAAAATTTTTACTCGTTCTCAGTAAAGATGTGACAAAGGAGAATTTACTGAGCTTAAAAAAAAACAACAACAAAAAAACCCCTACCCAAATCTATTTCAATTTAAAATATTAGTCTTTATTTAAGATTACATCTTTCCTATTTGAGGGGATTGCTAATATCCCTTTACTCTAATTAACTGATGGTGACCTATGTGATAACTGCTTTGTTCGTACATTCTAATGTCCTTTACTGGATATGAATAGATGCACGGTGTACCCCATACCCGGCTGCAACACAAAGATAGAACTAAGGTAGCAACTGTGGAGGACTGGAGGACAAAGAGACAGCAAAGAGAAGCCCAGCCTGGGAGGGAGGTCAGAGATGGATAGCACACAGCAGTCTTTCCAGGCAGCCGCGGTCCTGTCCTGAGGGAGTCCTTTGAAGCAGGCTAGGGAATCTGGACTTATCCTGCAGGCACAGCAGAAAATGCTGAAGAGATGAGAACATTCAGAAGGCAGGAATGTTACACCCTGCATTCTCCTCACATGGGCTTCCCCAGTCATGTGAGTGAGCAACAAGGCTGGCTGGCCGAGAGAGAAGGCCGCCAAACAGGGTGGAAAGGAAAGAATCTAAGGGGGGGAAGGAAGACAGTGAGGATGAAGGAAGTGGAAAGATAATGGATAAGAGAGAAGGACAGAGGTTCCCAGATTGGGAAATGCAGACATGAGACCAAGTAACTAGAGCTTCAGAACTGCCACCCCAGGCTGTGGAAACTACTAGTGCCCAAGAGAAAGGAAAAGCAACATTCTCACCAAAAACACCTCAAAATGATCATTATTTCCCAGTCTACTTGTTTTTGTTCATTGTTCCCAACTCTATGGAGAGTTTTCTTTGCTCACGAAGACGGAAGAGGGGCTGAGGGCCTGGCGGCTCACAATCACCGGAAGTTGCGGACAACACAACAAAGCTGCGTGCTGGCAGCCCCTCCGCCTGAGTCACCGTGAGGAGACAAAGCGATGTAAAAGCTGGACAAAGCAAGCAAGTTGGTACAATACTATGAAGCCTTCAGTGGGTCTTTTCCATCTTTCATTTCTAGAATTGACCAAATTTTTCACATGATAATAAATCAATCCTGGGTCCGGCAAACATGCCCCACAATGCCACAGTACAACAAAAGGAGCCCTATTATAATATTATAAATCATCCCCATTTCCTCAGGGAATATCAGGCTACTATTGGGTGAGACAACTGCAGAAGCAGCACGTCTCACTTCCCATAAAATATATTTGGCTTTTGTATATCCCAAACAAGCTATACATAGTTCAAACATTTGCAGATGGCTGGAAATTTCCAGGGCTTTCCTCTCACAGAAAAATTCTATGAAGCAATAAAATATTTTTATGATATAATTTGAAACCTTTATAAATGAGCCATTTAAAATATACTTATGCATTTTAATCTAAAATTTGTATTTAAAATAAGTCATTCCCCTGAAGTTGATTTTTAAAATGGATCCAATCCATGAATTCTTTAATCACTGAAAGAGAAGGTGATCCAATCACACCAACTCAGAGAGAGAAAATGGTACACCTGTTAATTTAAATGAGATTTGATGATGATCAGCTTACTCAAAATGATACAGCTAGTCCTAAAATTGGAGCAGAAACAGCTAAAAGCAAATGGCTTCATCTTCCAATACTGAGTGGGAAAGCATGGGTCTTGAATTTAAATAGATGTGGGCTTAAATTTCAATTAAGCCACTTACTAGCTGTGTGACTTCAGCAAGTCTTTGGGAATCTCTGAACCTGTTTCCTCACCCTCATTTAGTGAAGATTAAGTGAGGTAATGTAAGCAGTCATCAGCATGTTACCTGGAACATGAGAGTGCCCCAGCAAGTGATATGAGAGGATCTCTGCAAGTGGTAAGAAGTACTCTGAACAAAGCCAAGAGATAATGTAGTGTACTGAAGTATGACCATCCTTATCACTTTCTGAGATTGAACGGCCAGGAGAATTTGTATTAGAGTAAAAAGTGAAACAATGTGCTGGTTAAGTTGAGATTTTTTATGGAAAGCATTAAGTTGGCCAACTGAGCAATAAATTGGCCTAAGGTAAACACAATCAAAGAGTGACTGCTAATTTCTAGTACGAACAAGTTCCAACTACCAGCCAAATAATATCTACAAAATTCTCGAGGGTAGTTAAAATCAGGGAACTCACTTGTGAAGTGTATAAATCTGTAGTTGTTTGTTCCTTCAAACACCGCAGTTCTACGGCATGTCTGTGTGAGCCACTGACAACAGAAACAGAACTAAGACAAGGTCCTGGCCCTCACAGAACTCAGAATCTAGTCACAGTGACAGAGGTAATCATAATGCAAACAACTTGTAACTCGACCTAATGAAAGATCTGCTGGTAGTTTTCACGGACAAATACAGGGCCACGAAAGGGCACCTATTATGTGCCAGGAGCCATGCTAGGTGGTACAGGAACACAGATGACTAAGGACAGGAACTCTACTCCTGAGGAGTTCACAGACTGGGAGGAAAGACAACAGGTGACGACAGCATTTATGCAAGAGCTGCTTTGAGAGAACAGAATACCTCAATCTGACTAGAGGGGCTAGGCCTCAAGGAGGGGCTAGGCCTCAGGAGGTACTGACTGAACCAAGAATGGAAGGATGAGGGGAAGGAGCTCACAAACGGGTGTGGGACAACAAGTAACAGCACATGCCTAAGAGAGAAGGTAGGAACATGCTTGTCATGTTTAGAGAATGGAAAAAGCCTGAGTGGCTAGAAAATGTTTAGGGATCAGGAAAGGGTAAATGATGCCACTAGAAACTGATCAAGAACAGATTAGTTGGGGGGGGGTCCTAAGAGTCCTATTCCTCTTAGATACTGGAGAGCCAATGTTGGATGGTAGCCTGCAAATGTGATAAGATTGTGTTTAAAAGGATGAACAGTGGCAGAATGGAAAACAGACTGGACAGGGTGAGAGGCTATAGAAAGGGAGCCTTACGTAATGATTTAGGGGAGAAGCGATGTGGGGCTACCTGAGGACAACAGGAACAAAGAGAAAGAAACAAATGTAAAATCATTTCAGAAGCAGAACCAGTAGGACTTGGAAAGTAGCTAGATGGGAAGTATGAGGGTGGGGCGATGATACTGACGCCTAGGTCCCCATTTCCTGTTACAGGAAAAACAGGGTTTGGAGGGTAAAAGTGGGATTAGTTTGGGACCTGTTGAGTTGAAGGTATCTATGGACACTCACAGAATGTTATATAGGCAAGTGGAAATCTATGTCTGGAACTTAGAGAATTCTGACTAGAAAAGCAGAATGGGAGTCATCAATATTTGGCTTAACCCTTTGGGGGTCATGGATTACTGAGGATCTACTGAAGTTATGAACTCTCCAGAAAAAAAAAATTTCCATATACTTTCAGGGGCTTCACTGACCCACTAGAGACCATTCACACACCCATCCTAGATTAGGAACTCCAATACAAACAGGAGGCAAAAGCAGCTAATGTCACAATGACAAAGGGGATCGGGGAAGTGCCATGCACAACCAGCAAACTAAGGGTTAAGCTGATAAAAAGGAAATGCCGGAGAGAAACTTCAAAGTGGCTATTGATTTGGAGTGACCAGAAGACATTTCATGATGTTCAGCATAGCCAGATCCCAGAATAATGTTCAACAGGATCAAAACTACTGGATATAGCCATGAATAAAAAGGAGGTAGAGATACAGACGAGCCACAATTCTACGTATAACAATAACAACCTACCTTCTGTACAGCATGTGCTCTCCCAGGGGCAGTTCTGTGATGAGTCCAAAGCAGTCAGAACTCACCTTCCCTACCCCAACATCCATAACCAAAGTCGTGAATTTGTGCAAGAGACAGCTTCAGACTCAAGCACAATCTCTGACTCAGAGTAAAACTCAGAGTAAATCTGACTGACTTGCAGTGATTCAGTAATGCCCTAACTTCATGACAGCTAGAGCTTCGACTTTCTTCTATCTTCTCATAGCTATCAATGAGTAGCCAAACAAATTTATTATCCTCAATTCCGGGAAGTATCAACCAACCTAGGCTATCCTAGAAATATAGAAATTGCCATATAATTTTCTGAAGAAATCTTACTTGAATAAGATTACAAAAGCTGCTCACTATCCTCACATTTTTTTAAGATTTTTAAGTTTATTTTTTAATTTTTTAAGATTTTTAAGATTATTTATTTGACAGAGAGAGAGACAGCGAGACAGGGAAGACAAGCAGGGGAAGTCGGAGAGGGAGAAGCAGGCTTTCCACAGAGCAGGGAGCCGGGTGTGGGGCTTGATCCCAGGACCCTGGAATCATGACCTCAGCAAAGGCAGACACTTAACGACTGAGCCACCCAGGCAGATCTGCATTACCAGCAAAATAATGGCTGAAGCAGATACTGTACTGTGTCAATACTGATACCTCTAGGAGCCATCCATGAGGGTTCCCAAGTTTCTACGTCTTCCCAAATGGAACCAGAAGGCATTGCACTGGGCAAACTAGTAAGGCTAGCAGAAAATCAGAGCGTGCTTTAAGAAAACTTGGGTAACTCTAATGAGATTATGACCAGAAAACACACCTATTTTTTCAAATTCTTTAGACTTCTATAAAATCTCCTTTTCTCCCCTCCCTGTCCCTTTTCTTTTCCTTCCTTTCTTCACACAATCTTAGCATCTACCAATTTTTCTTTTGAAAAAAAAAAAAAAAGAAGTATTTTTAGTTGTCTATAAAATAAAATCTAAGCCATATTCATTTTAACTCTTCTCATAAAGCATCTCTTTGCAACTTCCCTCTAATCAAGATCACTCTGAAGGAATTTTAGCAAAGGTACACCTTTCTATTTCAGAATCAACAAAGCAAAAGTTTGTAAAGAAATTTCAATTCAAGGACTCAGATAAATCAAGACTATTTCTGAAAAGGAAAAGCGCCAAGTCGCTGGCAGGCTGGGAGTTAGAGCTCCCCAGTTGGCCTGGTGGTATTTTCCACCACAAGACCCTGAGAGTTAACAGGTCAGGCAAAGGGATCTGTTCTTTGGCCGGAGCAGCAAATATTCACAACTTTTCACAGAGCTAGGGAAACATTTTTGTACTCACTTCACCCAGTCACTTACAAAAGTGCATCCTAGGAGACTTCCCCTCTCTGCACAGAATTAACTGCCTGGCCAAGAGATATAATTCCAAAATATGGAGAAATACCATATTTATGAAAGCACAGATTGGAAGACACCCTTTTTAATTAGAACTGGATACATTTCAGCTTTTCTCACACCAACTCAAACTCCATCCGAAATTGACAGACTTGTCTTCCAGCTCTATCACTTTGGCAAGTGATCTTCTTAAATGCTCCTACCTAGTCTTACTAAAGTATTAGTAACTGGGAAAAATTACACTGAAAAAAAAAAAATTAACTTTATAAACTGGCTGGCCAAAGACATTACTCAGTGTTTAGAAGTCTCTCAGATCAGATCTCTGAACTTCAGATGCTATGAAGCTGTTATTTTATCAGAAACAAATTTTGAAGGTAATGAAAAATACAAGTATAAAAGTGACTTCAGAGAAGACATTTTAGAGAAAACAGGCTCCCAAGGACACTGATGAGGAATACATTAGAACTGCTCAAATGTGGATTAGCACGAAAAGAAATTCCTGAAAGATAATCAAGAGACAGTAAAATAAATTGTCCCTAATTTCTAAAAGTTAACAAAAGAAGAGCTACGTTTGTGCAAATGTAGTCAGGCAACAGGCAACCTATCTCCGAGCACTCCTTTCCCAGCTCTGGCGACCCTGAAGTCCCTTGGAGAAGGACTCGGGTGCAGTGGGTCAGGAGCTCGCGCTCTGCACCCACACTGCCCCAGCCTTCCTGCTTCTGCCACTCAGTGGTTGTTGTCATTTCAGGTGTGTGACTTAACTACTCTGTGCCTTTATTTCCTGAAGATAACAGGAATACCCAAAGACCAAACTTGACCCGGTTTTTCCAACTCAAGAAGCTGACTCGAAGAGGCGGTGGAACCCTAATCTTAAAGCTGCGCATCTCTTCCTCTGCCTGCTGGCAAGCTCCACCCAACTGACCTGCTTTCCACAAGGCCCTCCTCATTTGTCTTCAGCAGCTCCCCACTGGCCAGAGCACACAGCAGGAGCCCTCAAGTGATCCTCTTTTCCGACGCGAATCTCAGCCCTTCCAGTGTGAATTCCCAACAACGCAGCCAGAAACCACCTAAAGTAGACTGACCTAGCCAGCTCCCCCTAAATGAGTCCAGAGGACTCCGTTCCCACATTCCTTCCCAGTGACTCCAAATCGTCAGCATCGCAGTCTTCTAGGGGTCAGCGTGAGCCCCTCTCTCACAAAGATCTTCTCGGTAGTTCTGCTTTTCTATGAATTTCTGCCTTGCAGGACACATCAGCACTTACGGAAATACACAGTTAGCTCCTTGTGGGAGCTTATCACTCCCCCCAAAACTATTAAATGTTTTGGGACATGAATCATGTGCTGTGAACTTCCTGCTGCCTCTCTCAACAACATACTAATATTAGGGACTCAAATGAAAACTTCTGTGAATCATGAAGAAGCTTCAGCAATCTCACCTGAACTGTGACAACGGCTGCTCCTTGGCACTTCTTACCGCCACTGCCTCTACACTCCAAATGTAGCGTGGTCTGTTCTTCTCTATTAACGTACTGTTTTGGCATTGTGTCCAACAGCTCACTATCCAGGGCAACCTGCTGAGATTCTCGAAGAGCTGCAGTTCTGGAAAACATCATCAGGAGGTAGAAGAAAGGCTTAGGAAAGGTTTCATGGTAAGTGATAAAGGCTTCTGGTCATCCCGGCCTACACTAGAAAGCAAGACCTAGCATTCTACAGGAACAAAAGACCAAAGGTGTTTGTAAACCCTCTCTTCTCCTTAATAAGAAAGTTAAGAGATGAAGGGCAAGTGGGACGACTTTTTAGCCAGGAATGAAGCTTCATTTAGAATCTGTATTACATTAACGACGGTTTTTACACAGACCCTTAAATACACAAGAGCAAATGAGACTCTCATCCTGATTAAAGCAGTCTTAAAAAAAAAAAAGTCTTTATTTATTCATTTGACAGAGAGACACAGCAAGAGAGAGAACACAAGCAGGGGCAGTGGAAAAGGGAGAAGCAGGCTTCCTGCCAAGCAGGGAGCCCGATGCGGGGCTCGAGCCCAGGACCCTGGATCATGACCTGAGCTGAAGCCAGACGCTTAATGACTAAGCCACCCAGGTGCCCCCACTTAAAACATTTTTTTTTTTTAAAGATTTTATTTATTTATTTGACAGAGAGATCACAAGTAGATGGAAGGCAGGCAGAGAGAGAGAGAGAGAGAGGGAAGCAGGCTCCTTGCTGAGCAGAGAGCCTGATGCGGGACTTGATCCCAGGACCCTGAGATCATGAAGTGAGCCGAAGGCAGCAGCTTAACCCACTGAGCCACCCAGGCGCCCCCCCCACTTAAAACATTTTTAAAGGGGAACCTTATTTGTAAGCACCAGTGATTTCTTGGGTATTAGCAACTCAAACTGGACTGTCAGATGGAGGAAGCTAACTTTTTACATGGGTGTACATGGGTGTCCACACTGTTCCATTACTGTGCAGGCACGTGTGTGTGTGGTGTATGTGTGCACACATGCACTGGTGGGGCCAGGGATGTACACACACACACACACAATAAATGCCAGGACCAGAAACAGCCAAGGAAACAAAGCCAGTAAGAGACAGATTCCCGTGGTGTTTGCACAGATAAGACTCTCTCACTCTGTAAAACAGAGTTATTCCACACACTCCTCTCAAGACGGCAAGCTAGAATCAAAACCTTCGAGAATTGGTCATTCTGTATCTACTTTAACTCAGAGCACTAAATGACTTGCCCGCATTCTGATCAAGTGCCTGTGGCAATTTGCTAAAGAACATGAAGACTTAAGGAGCACAGCAGTGACAAGAGAAAGCCAATCTCACTGGATACCCTTTCAACACCATCTTCCCAGTATCAGAAAGTCTTCTCAGGAGAAGCTTAAGAAACACTTGTCTGGCACTGCTGACACTCAGAAATGCCACCACAGGAAATGTAAAATTTACCATCCATGTAAGCACCACATCATTTCAATGTCAAATTAAGAAGACTTGTCACACCTTGGCTAGCTGAGGTAACTGACGGGGCCAGTCTGGTCAAATTATCCTCATGGAGAGGAGGCTGATGAGGAAGCCCTTCTAGGCACTCCGTCATCCAAGCTGTCACAGCAGGAAGCACAGAGGCACAGCCCTGGGAGTCTCAGTCTTACCTGGCCTGCTGCTGCAACAGATTCAGGTCCGTGCACACCAGCCGGGTGGCATCCTTCTGACTCAGGAGCGCAGCTGAGGAAATGACTGGCACAGGAGGCCTCATTGGGTGCAGATCAAGGGGAGGCTGGGGAGCCTCATGCTTCCGCAAGTTACTTAAAACCCTTTCTTTAGCTGAAAGAAAATTAAGTCCTACTTACTGAGTAATGGCTACTACGAGGTAATAACATACTAAGTGGGTGCAAAGCCTTGGCCTATTACTTCGAGAAGAATGCTGAAGACCTACAGAATAGTTATACAAACCATCAGAGGCCTGAATAAAATCATTATCTTCCGTTACAAATTTTGAGGGAGCCCCCACACAGTTATTACTATTCTACCAGGAGCTAGGAGCTCACAAGCACGTGGTATGATTAAACAGAATTCCTATCCGAAAAGCCTTAATGAGAGTTAAAGAGCTAAAACTCATGATCTTAAATTATTACCCTACACAGCCTTGTGTGACATGCTAAAGTGCCTAGACTTGATACTCGTATAAAGGAGATTTAGTGAACAGCTCTCAACAAGCCTGAGAAAGATGGTAGCTATCACCAGACAATGGACTAGGGAAAGGGCAGTCCCATTAAGAGTTTAATGCAATCATCCAGATAAGTCTCATGGGAAGATAAGAAAAAAAAAAAAAAATGGATGTTAAGGAATATAGCAGAGTGAAAAAAACCTTAAACTGGGCCGAAGTTTGAATGGGAGGGGTGAGACTAGCAGAGTTAAAATGAACAAAGACATGGGCATAAACTCCCACAGAACTTCTATTTCATAGTTATACTGTCATGCATTCATTTGTTCACTTACTCATTCACTCAATAAAGAGTCCAAATAAGAAATCAGGTGCTGTGTAAGAAAGGCAAATCTGTCCATCCAACTTTGTACTCGACTGCATGTGGTCCCATGCTGATGAATCCAATTTCAATGTTTCTATTTCTATACCTAATACAGAGCTGACCACAGGTCACACAGGTATCCAATAAATTCCTACCTTCCCACCCTCTGTCTGTACTGCACTGAACCCGTACCATACAGCAGGTGGGGACTGAGGAACACGAAGAAAAATGCTGCCACAGACCTGACACTTTTCAAAAGTAAGATAACATGGGATACGAGAGGTCAAGGAAATCTCAAGTCAGTAAGTCAGGTCAACAAATACTTAAGGGATTACTATGAATTTCCAACTTCATTCCAGATGTAGCATTCCATTTTCTATTCTTAAGAAAATTTAAGACAATTTAATAGCCAGGATTTTAGTTGGCACAAAAAGACCTGTATTGTTTGCACCCCAAACAGATGGAATTTAACATTCCAAACAGGTCAAGTGAGGGATCGTCCTGTAGAGCCGGGGTTTTTCCACTAGAACAACTACTCTTTGCACAGAATGTAACAAAGTTGGATAGTCATCACTGGAAAAGACTCCTAGCTTCCTTCAAGTTTCTCTCAAGCAACATTTTAGGCCAGGACTAAAGCTACTGCCTGAACTCCCTATCTCTAACTTCTTTTACAGAAAAATTATCCTATTTGAGCCATTACTGTTCTGGAGTTTTCTTTCACTCATAGCTGAACCTAACCCTAAGTTGTAGACAAGTTAACAATGAACTCCTAAAAAGAATTCTCACCGGAGGGATATACCGTGTAAACCTTAACCCTCAATGGCTCAGATTCAATCATTCATTCCCTCATTCATTCATTCATTCACTCACTCAAGGGGGCTGATGCTCATTCAGCTCACCCAACAAAGGATCAGTGACGTCCAGCTGCACTGAAAAGCTGCAGGGTGGAGAATGGGATTCCAGTGTGGCCTGCATCCACAGACCAACGGTTTCCTGGAACTCATAATGTATGCGCTCCATGTTCAAATATTCCATCCACAGATCCTAGAATTGAACCACAGGACATTAACTTTCACAGACGAATCACATATTGACATATAAAACTACATATTTAACTAAAAAGTAGACCAGTAAGATTTAGCACAGGGCAATCCATACCAAGTTCTCCAGTATTAGCATGAATCACATTTAAAATGGACGCTAACAGGGGCGCCTGGGTGGCTCATTCAGATAAGCACCCAACTCTTGGTTTCAGCTCTGGTGATGATCTCATGGGTCATGAGATCTCACCCTCCATCAGGGTCCGTGCTCAGCAGGGAGTCTGCTTGAAGATTCTCTCCCTCTGACCCTCCCTCCACTCCCATGCATGCATGTTCCCTCTCTCAAATATATAAATCTTTAAAAATTATGTGTTTGTGTGTGTGTGTGGTGTGTGTGTGTGTATATATATATATATATATATACACATATATATATATTATACACATAGAGAGAGAGAGTAGGTGTTTGATTATACACCGAGATCAGAAAAAATAATTTTAAGAGCCCTACCAACTGTACATTTATAATTACATACACATAGAACTGAGCTAGTAAATTATAAAACACTGGTAAAAACCAGAAATTTTAAAGAGATAAATAACAAATATATTGAAAATTGTTGAATATGGATTAGATGAAGCCCTTGGTCCCAATACCACTTTACAGGATATACAGAGGACAGAGAAACATATTAAACCACACTAGCAAAGATAAAATCTGTGAAGTCCAGACTGTGGGGAAACTCTATGAACAAACTATCCAGTTTCTTCCACAAACAAACTGGGGGAGCAAGAGGAATATGGGGAGGACCAGTAGATTAAACAGATCCTTAAGAGCTATCAACCAACCACAATATGAGGATCCTGACTCAAACTGTAAAAATGAAAATAAAACTTTTATGACCTATATGAGGCAACCAGAAACTGGAACACTACTTAGGTATTTGTTATTAAGAAACTGCTGTTACTATTTTCCAGACATAAATATTATTGGGTTGTAATACTTTTTAAACCCTCCTCTTTGAAATTTTTATGTATCAAATGCTTTCTAGGATTAGTTCTGAGATAACATGGGTGAAGGGAGTGGACGGGCTATAGATAAAATCCGACACCTGGTCCACAGCAGGCAGAGGGAGGACAAGGGCGTGTGTGCTGCACTGTTCCATTTTTCTGTATGATCAAATTTTTCTTATTATAAAAAGTAAAATAAATAACAGGTAAAATGAGAGAAAATGGAAGTTTCAGTATTCTCTTCCCACACTCCAATGAACTGTCTTGCGTATTTCGCACTATGTCCATTTTACTCTGGTGATCAGTACGTATCAGAAAGGGAGACGGTCTCTAATTAGAAGAAATGCCAGCTCTCCACAAACATTAAAAACTATAGCAAATAGTAGTAATGGGTGATCAGACACGGACTATCGTTTCGTAAACAATTTTTTTTTTCTGATTTTAACTGTTTAGAGGATTCCTCTAACCCTACAAATGTCTCTGGTTTCTCAATGAGCGCACTGCCATGAAGTCCTAAACCATGTCCACACCATGACACAAGGCATTCCAGACTCAGAGGAGAAACTCCCAAGTCATACTGATCACAAGCCTGAATTCTAGAAGCCCCCAACAACTGTTGGGGGTACTGTAGTACTGTACCAGTCCCCCCTACTGTGTATACGCACCTTTTTCAAGTGGGGTCGCTAACGTCACCTTGTCTGCCTCTATGCTAGATAACGGCTGACAGGGGCTAATAACTAAGAACACTAAGAATTAGCAGCGGGCAAGCAGAGATGTCTCAGAAACCACAATAACACAGAACAACTCTACATGTGAACTACAGATCAAAAAGTGGAGCTAAAAAATCAAATCGCAAAGACTTACAAAAAAAACAAAAGAAAGAAAGAAAGCTATAAATTCTCTCAATAAAGGCGAACCAAGATAAATTCCAGAGAGCCAAGGAGCTATGATTAACTTTTAAAACCACTGACCAGAACTACACACTAATTCTTAGGTTAAGGCCTTGGCATGTGAAGGATAAAGAGGAGATAAAGACGGAATTGACTCAAAGAATTTCAGGGCACCGTGACTGCCTATTTATTTTTCCTGTTTCTCTGGCCCTGTATTGTCAGTCTTATTTCTCTATGCCCTAAATGTCGTTACTTCTCAGGGTTCTCTGGTTTCGTTCAGTCCTCTTCTCAATCTAAATGCTCTACTACCATCACAGCCACATTCCCTATACTGCCCCATTTCTATTCTAGACCTACACATCCCCTCCCTACCAAATCCTGGACAGAGCATTCTCCTTGAACTCCCTCTAGCACCTCCTCTTCCAGTATTCTGGATCTCTAGCTGCCCAAGCTAGAAATCTGGGTGTCCTCCTGTATCTAATCAATCCTACTACTGTATCAATCCCATCTGTGTATCTTATCTGAAAATCCTCTTGATCCTACTGATTCTTCTTCAATGTACTTTAAATTCATCCACTTATCTAATCACTCGTGCCATTTCGGGGCCTCTTCAAACAAACACTTCAGAACTATATCCAAATTCTTTAGAAAGCCATATATATGGCCTTTAGAAATCTGACCACCGTTCACCTGTCTGGCACCCTCTGCCCTCCTCAGGGTTTATACCCCAGTTACACCTCTTGAACATGCCTGTGGCCCCACTTCCATATCAGTAAGTGGTTTTAACGTTAGATTATGACCGTGACCTATTCGATCACGGTCAGGTATACTGAAAGAGACATTGCCGTAGTATTACCTGCTGATTCTGCATCACTTTGGCTAGCCTGTGAATATCATAATGCTTTGGTAGAGAAGGGATATAGGTATCTCCTTTTTGAAAATTCTCATCTTCCAGCCACAAAATATACACATTGAAGAGCCTGAAAGAAAAAGACAGAATTATATAAAATACAAAAAGACATGCAGGCAAATGAATTTCTTACATCTCTAGGAACACTGTCACTACTACATAAAAGTAACAAGCACGTAATACCAAAAACGTTTCCAACCACCACCGCAGGCATGGGCCAGCAGGGGAGGAAGGTCACAAATCCTTACAATATGATGCAGAAATTGTTACAACAAGGCTGTGAGGAAAAAGCTCTGTGAACTCTTTTATTAGCGTCTACATAAATATAACATAGAGAAAAAAATGACCAGAGGAGGTATTTTAACACAGATCTAGGATCTGAATTTGGAGTTTCTCCATCTTGGCAATCCAGTCACAGTGAGCCTCAGTGGTTGGAAAAGTTTAAACAACATTCCAAAAAACACACTGTCTCGCTTTCAGAGAAAACACTAAAAGCCATCTTAAACTTTTGCAATGGAGGAACCTGCCAGCTTTAGGCTCAATGACGCCCTCTTGCTTCAAGAAATCACAAACAGAACCCAAAAGCATGTGTACACCTTGTTCCCATTAACAAGGAATAAAACAAAGCCCGGCTAAAAAAAGAGAAAAAAACCCTCCATTTTCCAGGAAAAACTTTTAAAAAAATTTAATGATGTTTCCTTTATTTGCTTTGTTTCTGCAAGGAACACAATCCATTTAGCTAAGATCACCGGTATTTTAAGCAGCCGTTTGCAGCAAGGCGAGGCTAGAGGAGTCTGGCACACAAGCTGCAGGGCGGGGTCTGGGAGGTGCGTGGCTTGGCTCTGCTCAGTAACGTGGAAAACCACCTCCCTTACTTCCAGGGCAGCCCGTGTAGGAAGACGGACAGGACCCTGAGGCTCTCACACTCACACGGAGGAGGCCAGCGCGGGGTTCTCTTCCAGCTTCTGACTCACTTAGATGGCTACTTTACCAATATGCCAAAGGAAGGGGGGTTTACGAGAGGCAGAACCACACATCAAACTTTCTTGGCTGATCTAAATGTTCAAAGATTAAGCCTCCCCACTGCTTAAACCAGGCTAAAAGTAGGTTTTCCTTTAAGCAAGCAAGATAAGGGGGGAAATCATCTCGGAGGTAGAAAGATAGCCTGGAGGGCTTTCAGGTCAGGCAAACCTGAAGCCTCAGCACTGGATCAAAACCCCTGGTTTCCTCACCAAGACATTTGGCATCCAGGGCTAATGATTAGAAGCCATTTTTATTAAGTCTTATTTAGAAGACTAATACCTGGTTTATGGCAAGCATAAATGAAAAGTAAAGGACCTGTGTCAAAGGTACCACACTTACTTCAGAGTTCTTAATCTTTGGGGGCTACCTACATTGTGCCTAATTTTAGAAGCAGTTTTGGGTGATTGCTACCCTACCCCAGGCAGATTCCAAGAGGTGTAAGAACTTCGCTTAAAGAACCCTGCCTTGCTTATGAATTTCCTTTTGAGAACTGTGCTGGCGGGCTTGACTAAATGTTTACCTCCTGTGACCGACTGTTCTGGTTTCTGTTATCACATAGAGAGACAGAAGAGGACATCAGCCCTCTGGTTTAAGACCTTCCATTCAGACTCCAGGCACTTGACAGAGCTGTATCCAAAGTGCCGATTCCCTTCTCATGAGGAACACAGAAAAGAAGCATTACCCCATGCAAACCCAGCGCAAACCACCCTCTTTATAAAATCCAACAGGGTTGAGAGAATGACATCTGGCAGGCTGTCGCACCAAACAGCTGCTCCAGCAGTGTCCCCGGTGCTGCCAATGACAGGAGAGATGGCTCAGTAACCATGGCCCACCTCACAAGCTCCGCGTGCAGCTCCGGCGAAGTCAGGTAGCCTGGGGTCCCCGCCTGGCTGGCAGACGGCCCTTCACTGCCCTCTGCTGGGACGCGGAGGGCCTTGCTCGCAGCATGGTGGAAGTCGGCCACCTCGGTCAGGCGCCTCTTCATTTCTTTCAATAAATTGATATGAGCAGGACTTTGAAAAAACCTTCTTCCAATACAACCATCTATAGGTAACCTTAAAAAATACAAGCACACATCACAAGATCAACCCAAGATGCTCTTTCCATGTGGCACACAATTGCAATCAATAGACAATTCAGTGGCTAGAAATATACCACATTAAATCAACACCTGTTTTTTCTACCTCAGTGGTTCGTATGAGGCTCCCACAAGCATGGTGCATGTGAAAGCAGTTTTAAAAAGAATGAAATGCTACCCAAATTTAAGAAACTATCACCACTTAGTGGCAGAGAATAAAAACAGTGTTCTAGAAGAACTTGCAAGCTAGCAGAAAACAGACGAGCCTAAGAACCAGTATCTGTACATTCTGAAGGACTGAGGTAAGGGACCAAGGGTGAGCTAGGAACTGAGTTGAAGCCAGAGAACACAGTCAGGAATAGTGGACAGGTCCAGCTGGCCAGAGTCCCTTCATACTCAGGGGAAATGTCAGACACCCCCAGGCACAGAACCAAGAGCTGCTAGGCACTGCCCAGCCTTTGTCCACATCTGCTCTGCCCTTCACAGGTCCGCTTGGATGGCCACCGCAACAGTCACACGCGCAGCCTGCTTGGGGCAGTTTCGCTCCCTTTGAGCTCCGGGAGCTCTCTGCTACACCGTGCCCAGCTCCAGGTGCTGCCTTCACCCGGGGAGCTGCCACAAGATACCCTAAACTCACAAATGGTCTAGTCTCATCAGTGTGAACCAGGAAGAGGCAGACTCCTAGCCAGAGGTTGGAGGATGGTTCTAACTCACAGGCCACAATGAGCATGAGAGCAGACTGCAAAGTCAAGAACAGGTTCACAGACACAACAACACTGGGTACCGTACCCATATTGCGGTCCTGGGCGATGAAGATACAGGAGGAAGAACTTCTGCCAAATGAGAGGCAGAAGAGGGTGATCGGAAGGCGTGACAAGGGCCTGGTGGGCCCAACGATAAATCAGCAGCCTCTGGAGGGACGGGACGATGGGAAGCTTCAGCTGGGCCTGGGCCTTCTACAAAAGAAGAGGGGCTTTGAGCAGCCATAATATGATCACAGTTCCAGATAGTCTGCTCTTTCTAAATGATCCAAATAAAACCCTGAACATTTTGTTTTCAATTCAGTGAAGAAAAAAAAGTCCTATTTCCAACTCACTAGCTGATACTTCAACCTCCTTGGTAGTGAAACGTGTGGGGCAGTTTTTTTTTTGTCAAAACATTTCACAGACACCCCCAGACTGGAATATGTCTTAAACATTTTACCTCATTTCCATGCCTTTCCAGGCCTTTGTGCACAAAACACCACAGTTTAAGGAAGCAGAATGATAGGAAAATCAAGTCAATTTTACTGTCAAACATTATCAAGCTCTTGAAAACTTAGATTTGAAAAGAACTTTCAAGAATTATAAACTCCTTGACAGGATCTGAAACCCAAAAGCCAAGTCTCTATTAGGAGACCCTAACATAGGTCTTTCATTCTAAAGCCTCATCCCAGTCTTTTTTCCCTTCAGTGAGCCTAAGGATCAGCTAGGGAGTTTTTAAAACAAATTCCTGGTCCCGCTCCAGACCTCGAAACTCAGAATTTCAAAAGCCGGGGTCCGGGAATCTGATTTTTAACAAGCTCTTCAGGGGACTGATGCACAGGACACACACGGCAAACGGTTTTAAAACGAGGGTAAACCCCTGCACTCATGCGTGAACACAGACTTCAATCATTAGGTGGTGACACGTTATGCTAAATAAAGCTTGGAAAGGAAGTATACGCTTCAATTATACAGTTTTAAGAACTGGTTTGGATGTTGTAATTGCCAAACATTTACAACAAAAGGAAACACCCAAGTTCAAAAGCTATTAGATGAATCCATCAATAAACCACCTTCTCCCACTCAAATGCACATCGGCCTTTTGCACCTTCAGAGCTTGGTCAGGGGTAAAAGCAGAGTTTATAACCAATTCCCCTTCGACAACTCTTCGGAGCTGGGAGTCTTCTTCAAAGATGGATTCCACGTTCAGTACTGTCCAGGCGAACCAAACCTACAAGGACAGCAGGTAAGGGTAAGCGGAATGAGCAGCTCGCTCAGATCAAATCATCCCGATATTCTACAAATGCACATCTCTTCTGCCAGGTATCTCAATCAACAAATATTTATGGTTCCCCAAATTAGCAGAGTTCTTACACCTATCACTGTTCTTGTCGCAGATACAAACTTAGAATAAACAAATCACTGAAAAATGCTAAATTCCTTCAAAAATGCCCCTTCAGTAAAAGAAGATGTTTGTTCACACAATAATTATTTATTTTACAAGGGACAGGAAAGAGAGCCAGATCTAAGCTCCGCCCTCCAGAAGTTTTCCACCTGTTTGAGGAGATGAAACTAATGCATAAGTAACTACAATGCGAAGTGAGAGGTGGTGAGCACGGAATCAGGAGTCAGCGGCTATGGGAAGCTGGCGGAAGGAGCGCGGGATCACCGAGGCGGACACACCAGAGACAGTTCTGCATGGAGAACGGAGGTGAAGGCAGGACTGGCAAGAAGACCGGGTGAGGCAGAGTCAGAGAGGCGGAAACACCAGGGACATGGGTGGGCAACAGCAAGGAGTAGTGTTGCAGCTGATCACAAGAGGTACAAGGAAGAGCAGGAGGCCAGACCGACAGGAGGCTGAAGGATGTCTGTCACTAGTGGTGGAAGTGATGAATCGGGGACATAATCGGACACACAGAGTCAGACAGGGGTAATAATGAAGAAAAAGCTGCTGCCGCTGCCGCTGCTCACAATGGCAACAGCAGCCAACACCGAGTCCGTGCAGTGGGGCTGGACTAAGCACGGGTCTGAGTGTGTTACATGCAGGTGCAGTCATTACTCCCGTTCCCCAGCGGAGGAAACTGAGGACAGAGACGTAAGCAAGCTGCTGAGGCACAGGGCAGACAAAGAGCAGACTGAGCCCCAGGCCGTCTGGCTCCAGTGTCTGTTTTGTGTGGGTTTTTTTTTTTTTTTAGTTCACTGGAGACAGAGAGAGAGACAGCACAGGCAGGGGGAGAGGCAGAAGCAGACTCCCTGCTGAGCTGGGAGCCCGAGGTGAGGCTCAATCCCAGGACCCTGAGATCATGACCTGAGCCGAAGGCAGATGCTTAACCAACTGAGCCACCCAGGCGCCCCGAGTGTCCGCTCTTAACCACACTGCTGGGCAGACTCTGCAGTCGGGCAGACCAGGCCTGACCACGAGCTGTCTGATCCTGAGCCAGCCACCCGGCCCCACCAAATCTCAGTTAACTCCTCCATGAAACAGAAGAGCAACCGCGCCACCTCAGCAGAGACCACTGGGAGGGTTCTGCGATGCTGTAAATGCTAAAGGAGCGCTACTTAAAGTTAGTAGCACTACATCAGCAAAGATGATAACAACATTAAAAGTTTGCAAAGGTCACCAATGGGCCACAGGGGCTTTCCTACCTGAGTGGGCGTGGCCAAGCCCTCCACAAAAGAAGGAGTGATGTTGCCAGCTACGATCCAGCTCACCAAAGAAGAGAGCAGACTCCGATCACAGTGGTAACCCAAAGCATTCTACACACGGGACAGGATATGCAGCAAAGAGAAAAGGTTTTTAAAAAACCTTATCGAGAATATCAGCAACTAGCCTCTTATGATGGTAGGTTCTGGTAAGACATGGACTTCACTAATTAGTCCCTCAGCAATGAGAGTCGTAGACAGTGTGTTACAGTCAAATGCAAGGAGCAAGGCTCCTCCTGGGGGGTCTTTTCCTTTGGCTTCCCTAGAGTCTACACTAGCAGGGACTATGGTTCCTAAGATAAGGCACTATCAAAAACAAGCTTTAAAAAGGCACTGGCCCCAGAGTAAGTACTGGGAACTATGCATTTGGGGAATGTTCTGGGAAGGCCACTGTCTTTTCAAGGATTGAAAGACAAATTCTCTAACAGGTTTACCTTATGTTGCTGGTAGAGTAATTTCTGCACACAGTCTTCCTGCATCAGCTCAAAAGCTGTTTTACACAAGTGGTCCATGAGGAAGAGGATGGCTTGCTCTCGGTACCAAAGATGCTGGCTTATTAGAGCCTGGACCCAGAACTCCAACACGGCAACAGGGCCCACTTCATTGGGCTGGGTGCTTACGGATATGTGGGCCTATGGAGAAAGGGCTTAGGTGATGTGGAGGTAAGAGTCAGTCTCCCATTTTTTTTTTAATGTTTTATTTATTTATTCGACAGACAGAGATCACAAGTAGGCAGAGAAGCAGGCAGAGAGATAGGAGGAAGCAGGCTCCCTGCTGAGCAGAGAGCCCGATGTGGGGCTCGATCCCAGGACCCTGGGATCATGACCTGAGCCGAAGGCAGGCTTTAACCCACTGAGCCACCCAGGCGCCCCCAGTCTCCCATTTTTAAGACACCAACAAAATAACTACTTCCACTGCAAAGCCCAAGTCTGCTGATGTTCTTGGCCAAAAGCACTGTGCCAAGTGCTTTGAAATGACCAACACTCAGCTGTGCTAAAGCAGGGTGCCTGACGGGGAAGATGGGCCAGCGTGGATGCAGGGGCTTCCTAGGGGCCTGACCTGGATCATGCTGTTGAGAAGCTTCATGTTGTCTCCATGGCTGGCTCCTGTCAGGTGCTGTGCCACCTTGTGGGTGACCTGCTGTGTGACACCCTGAGGGACACCGCTGTCCAAGTGCAGGAACAGGAGGAGGTGTGACAGGAACCTGCCAGGAATGAAGGGGAACACATTTGACCTTCTAATCAGAAGTCAATAAAGTTTCCAGTAGCTAATTACTTATGAGGAAACAGAAAAATATTAAAACTGATCCCATTTGCAGATCAAAGTTCTACTTAGGGATTTCAATAAATCTTCGAGAATTTCAGAAGAATGAAGTTTTCAAATTTAAGGTGGGTTAAAAGGAATTCTATCTACCTGCAGAAGTACAGTGAACAGATAGATCCAAGACATACAAATGCACACAAATTAAAGAGCATCAGAGGAACAACATCCCAAGGGCCCCTTTATCCCCTCCCCACTTCCCACCCTCACAAAAGCTGAGATGTTTAGAAAATCATCACAATCTGGTACTGGGTGTCACCTTCATACAAGGTGGTTGGTATAAGGGGCACTTGTCGGGGGTGTCCCACCACAATTAGTCAGGAAGTGCCCTCAGTTCCCTGGATGTACCGACTCCCTCCTCTCTCCTTTGTTGCGTCTGGGTTTTCTCCCTGAAACACTCCCCAACACCTAACCTGGCAAACTCCTACTCATTCCCCACGCATCTCATTTACAATGTCCTTTCCCCAAAGGACACTTCCTGACCCCTCCCTGCCATCTAAAATATACCTAACCCACTAAGTCTCCATCCCTTCCCCTCAACCATCCCCTTGCTCAACCACCTACTGCCACCTACCCCACCCCCACCAGGATGTGACCAAAATCATCTCTAGACATTACCAAATGTCCTCTGAAGGTCAAATCACCCCTGGCTGAGAACTACCACTTTAGAATAGAATCACCTGATGTTATCATGAGCTTTTTTTCCCAATTACATGAACCATTATATGCCCTTCGTGGTGAAACCAGTGTGCACTGGATTTTTATCATGTTCAATCAAGAATCTTGATTAATACCCTATCCTTAATTCCCTCCCTCCCCAACCAGCTATTTCTTTTACTATAAATCCCATATACTTTTACCCATATGCAAATGCAACCTATACACACAGCATGGTCTTGCTTCATGACTTTGTAATTACCTCAAAAGTCTTTTCTCCACAAGATTATCAATGTCTCGTGTGATGAGAACCTTCCTATGTATCTCATCTGTCTGTAATACTGCAGACAATGAAAAGCAATGTGTTTCACTACTGTTAGAATGGCAAAGCCATTTGCTGCCCAATGTCAGCAGGTTTCATGGAAACAGCCGCTTTGTCAAATACTAATAAGCTACAAGCAATCTAAAATTAGGTAAGAAAGGGAAATATCTCTCAAGAAAATAAACTGGAATCATTATTAAGAGTCACTGTTCATCAACTGGAATCATTATTAAGAGTCACTGTTCATCAACCTGCATTCTAAACTGGGCAGGAAGTTTTCTGCCTCCTAAAAAATACACTACCAAATCACATCATTCCCTACTTTACTTGAAAACACAGTTGTCAGTCCTCCCTGGGCTGTATTCTACTCACTGCTCATTCTTCAGAAGGTAATACTGGCAAGGGTAGAACAAAGGCAGGATCTTATCCAGGACATGAACCACTGTTCTCAAATGCCTCGACTGGACCAGAATTCCCAACAGTGAGATGCCTTCTGCACAGAACTTCTCGATGCTATGGAAAGAGACAAAGGCAATGAGCAGTCAAGGTTGCCAGTTCAGGATGATTTTCTTCCAATGGGCCATCAGCCCACTTGCCACCCAGATGATCTCAGGTCTCCAACACATGTTGTGCATAGCCAAACTTCACACAGAAATACCAGCACTGGGACTCAGGAAGTACAAAGGAATTTAACAGTTCATCTGTATTTTTACTTTATAGATGAGAACAGTGAGGTATTCATGCCCAAATTCACATAATTTCCTAGTGCAAGGCCAAAATGAGAACCCAGGTTTGCAAATTTCCAGTCCAGAGCACTGGCCACTACCCAATTTTGCTTCCCAAATGGTGTTTCTTCTAAGAGCCATGGGGCTCTCATTGTCTGCGTATTTCCACAAGGTATGCGAGCAAAGGGAAGATTCAAAAGTGAGTTCACTCTGTTAGTATAAGCTGGCAAAATTCTTCTGAAACCAATTTGCATAAAAATTTATCTATTCTCTGACTCACTTCAGAAAACCTATCTTTAAGAAATAATCTCAAAGGTGGAGAAAAATATGACAGATGAGTCATGTAAAGATGCACTTTTCAAAATTTAAAAACACAAACTTAAGAGGCAGAAATGATTATGTAAATTTTGGAAAAATCCATTCATTGCAAATATTATTACATCACATAAAAATAATGCTTATGAGGGGCACCTGGGTGGCTTAGTCGGTTAAGCATCCGACTCTTGGTTTCAGCTCAGGTCATGATCTCAGAGTGAGATCGAGCCCCAAATGGGATTCCGTGCTCAGCACAATTTAAAATTCTTTCCCCACCGCCTTTGTTCCTCCCCCACACTGGCACTCTCTCCCTCTCTCTCTCTCTAAAAAATAAAATAAATAAATAAAATCTTCAAAAAGAATGCATATGATATCCAAGGGCAACATGGTAAAATTCTACTATACTGATGCTGGGGGGCAGGAGGGTGAACACTAATAAAGAATCATATAGAAGGAAAAAAACACAGGGATGATGTCACGCCAAAATGGTCATTGTGCTGGAGAAGCAGAAGTAAGTGGCTCTTTCTCCCATCTTCCTACTTCTATAGTTTGATTACACTGCCTTAATTCTAGGGTAAAAAGTCCTCTCAAAAAATAAAAGTAACAGCACAAAGATTATGCCACAGGAAAATGTCTGTAATATCAGAATGAGAAACAAAGGATTTACAAAATTATGCATACATTATAACTCTAAAAAAGATCAAAGGAAGAAATACTGCATAAAAACCAACAGAAAAAAAAAAAAACAATGTTTCGTTAGGGTGAGAAAGATTCTGGGTGATTTCTCTGCCTATTATTCTCTGTACTACATGATACTATATTCATGCACAACTCGCATCCCTGCACACTCTGTCCCCAACCCCAAGCACATTCGTGAGATTGTTTTAAGTTAGTTCTAGTGTATATACATCCCTGACTACCATAGTAGCCCAAAGAGAAACACTTTATTCTCATCTTCACTCCCATTAGGGATTCAGTAATCAGCACCAAGCAAACAGACCCACGGTAGCATCAGCGAACAAGGAGATGCGTTCCCAGAAGGAATACAAGACACAAGAGAAATCATGAAAGATTAAGTTCAGACCACTACACTCAGAATCCACATGTATCACCACTCGCTCAAGGCTCATCAAGTCTAGTACTGTCATAACTCCCGTTTTAGAGATGAGGAACCTGAGGTACCGGAAACTGGGCCTAGCAAATGACACTACAGTTACTGGAAAAACGCAGACTGCCTTCCAAAGCACCTGTGTAACATCTCTCCTCATCCCAGTGGATCAGTTCTACCCCCTTCCACCGGACTTTCACATCTGTCCATCACAGCTGGGCGTCCTCACCCACCAGCTCACCTCCACTCCCTAATGTGACGCAGGGGCTTCAGTCAGGGGCGCTTCCTCGTCACCCCACACCTCCCCCCTCCTCACTCGGACACCCACTGCTCCCTCCCATGTTCATGTAGCCAAGCACCTCCTACTCCAAGCTGCGGAGATCCGCAGATGACAAGACAATGCCCCGCCCTCGAGGAGCATGGAGTGCAGGGGAGCGAGAGACACTACCTCACTGCGGTACAGTACGGGTGGGGCTCAGAGTGCACAGGTGCTGCGGGGAGTTGGGGGGGTGGGGCAAGGCCCGTGGCTGAATCTTCCACATTGGGGGCACTGATCACCTGAGCAGATGAGCATCACACTCTGCCCCCAGCCTCAGATGCCTTCTCTACTTAAGACTCCTCTCCAAAGCTTAGCTCCTCCATGTAGGCATCCTGCCCTCATGATCTCCCCTTCCTTGAAATTCCTTCCCAATCCAGGCTGTACCGTAGAATAATCTGGCCCCGAGGCCAATGAGATTCGGACTCTCACCCTCCTCCCCATCCAGGTAGCTTTAGAATCACTCTAGACAGCACTGTAAAGAGTAGCCAGAATGGCGGAGCATCGTTCCACCAACCTCAGCCGGCCCCCGGTCACATCTTCAGCGCCAACTGCTTTCTGTCCACCAGCTCCACTGAACTGCCAGCAGTCTGAAGGCAGCTAACTACCAATTCCGAATCTCTCCCACTTCAGAGCACAAACAACTGATAGGACAGCGGGCAACCCACTAAAAATATACGTAATGTGAAACAAGATGTTGAAATTGGGATGCTAATGAGATATCACAGTGAGTCTAAAATGTGTGAACCAGGAAGTGTGGAGGTGAAAGAGATTTTAGAAAAACAGGTAGGCTAGAAAAAATTAATATGCCGTAGGAAAATGATCTTTTAAAAAAAATAATGGGATTTTTAACCAGTTAAGAACTCATTCACTTACTCTCTGCACCAGCTACTTATGGCACCAGCTACAGCCATCATCAGTAGTAGGGATGAAATGGTAACACAAGACAAACATGGTTCCTGAGGTTAGGACCTCACGGACGATCCCGGGAAGACTGAACAGACTACAATGCAGTGTGGCAAATGCTCCAGTGAAAGAAACAGAGACAACTCTGGACTCATGCCAGAGAGACATGTGACCTGATCAGGAATTTCCTTCCCCTGGGCAGGTTTAGCCCTATAGGAGAGAAGCTGGGCTGCCATTAAACAAAATGCAGTATGGATGGCCAATTATTTTTATGTGCTCTCTATTCCAAGGAAAAGAAAACACTTACTGCTGACATGAACATTCCACTCTTGTGGAAAGGCATACCCTCTCCATACTCTACGAGGTGACTCTCGGTACAAGTATGTCTTATATGAATTTGGGCAGCATTTCCCCTGGAGAAACCATTAATAAGGCTTATGATTTGGTCCTTATCACCCTTGGATAGGTTTGATGGAGGCCTCAGACCTTGGGATGTGCAAAATGAGATCTAGAATCACTGACTGAGATTCAGCAACCCTAGGGGTTCAGCCCACACTGTACCTGTGGCCCACGGCAGTCATAGCTAAGGCCAGATAACAGCCGATGGGCATGCCCGCCTTAACAGCCTTCAAGAGAGGATGAAACGTGGGTGACTCTGTCATGTCAGGCACAGTGCTGGAGAAGGGAACAGTTGGACAATTCTGCTGTATTCCATAATCATTTTTGTGCAGTTTTAACCTCAAGATCAAGTTCCAGGCCCACTGGTTAAATGAGGTCTCAGGTGTCTCTCCATATCGAACAATACTGGCCAAATAGGAAACCTAAAACAATTATTTATTTTAAACCACATTAGTCACATACAAATTAAATCAGTAAGCTCACCCACCCATTTCCTTCTGTGATCGACAACGTCCTCAAAAGAGAGGACGTACTACTTACCAGTACTCAGTGTTTGCAGCACTCAATTAAAGCAATTTCTCACAACTGACCACTTCCGCTCACTTGCTAGTCACTTTGTGAACCTGATCTGAGTCAGTGCAAGCAAAGGAGTAATAATACAAAAGCTGGTACACAACAAATGCTGTGACGATAAGTAAGTTTTAACAACCAGCTGGAGCCTGGGAGATCCTTTACAGGGCTTGTCAATTTTGGTCCTGTAAAAACTCCCATCATGGTCAGTTTCAAGCTACCAACAGGTTAACAACCTGGTTTGCAAAGTTCCTGATTGAAGTCTGTTCCCCTGAGCCAGTACCTGCCAGGTCTAGCTCACATGGATTTCCACAATACTAAAATGGTCATATGTAGGCTACTTCTCAAAGAAAAATCTTTATCCAACCACAGAATTCAATTTTAATCTCTTAAATTGCCAGATGTTCTTAGGCAATCTAAGGGTAAACACTGTAACTGTATCCACCCAGGCAACTTACAAATAAAGATGTTCTCCATATATAAGAAAAGGAAATACCTGCTTCATACTTTCAGAAAGAAGCCCGGCATAGGGCTTCTGTGCAAGGTATTTCTGGTACGCTTCAAGAACCATTAAAGCCACTTCAGCATGGACTGCTCGATCCAGATGAAGGGTACCCTTTGAAGGAGAAAAATAATTACAAACATGCCATCTTGATTTTTTTTTTTAACATACCCTTGAACAAAACGACTAAGAAAAGTAGTAAAGAAGGATCTTGGATACAGAACTTGAGCTTTCCAAAAATTACATCCCCTAACAATTAAGTTATAAAACGACAATAGGAAAAGACACTGAAATCTTAAAGAACCATTATACTGCACATCTAAGTGCAGTATAGGTTTGAAACTGACTCATCTCGGACCCCACATATCAAAGGTATCTTTGAATGTAACTCCCCTGTCCCTACCCTAGAAGCTCTATAAAGTCTTTGGGTTACAAGTTTAAAGGCATTACCACAAACTGGGAAATTGTTCAATTATTATTAAATAGGAAAATATTTAATAAATTACATCTATATTTCTTTTCATTATTCTATCATCAGTGGAAAATATGTAAGATGCTCAACAACACAGGGGCACCTGGGTGGGCTCAGTCACTTAAATGTCTTGATTTCAGCTCAAGTCATGATCTCAGGGTCTCTGCTTGAGATTCTCTCTCCCTCTCCCTCTGCCCCATCTGCACCCCGCACTCGCCCCATCTGCACCCCGCACTCCCCCCATCACACACACACACAGGTGCGTTCTCTAAATAAACAAATAATAAATAAAATCTTAAAAAAAAAAAAAGATACTCAACAACACAGATAAAATATTCCTTCAGAAGCCTGAAGTTGCCTATCGAATTTCCCATCCAATCTTCCTTGCAACCTGAAGAAATACATTTCTTAATCCTTTAATGGAAGATGACTTTCCTAACTAGCAAAGGATCAATCGTAGAGACTCTCACAGGGAAGTCTTCACACAGCCTGGTGGGAGAGGAAGGCCTAGGGGGAGGGGGGCTCTACTCACAAATCAGAGAACGTGAAGATGGAAGACAACCCCCTATAGCGCTCACCCACCAGCACTGGAGTGGGAGAAGCTCCAAAAGGACCCAGGGGCAGACCCAGGTAGCTAGGGACGTCCAGGGAGAAAAGCTGCCTGGCTCCAGTTTTCTCATCTATACAACAGAGGTCAAGTTCATGCAAACCTCACAAGACAGCTATGAGGACTAAATGATTTGCTCAGAACAAAAGCTGGCAGGCAGAGAGGGATGAGTTCTCTTCCATTTTCCCTGTATCATATCGAAACATTCTGCTCTAGGAGCTAACTAATAAAGTCTAGGGTAAAGAGGAAGGCAAGTTTTAACAATTAAAATCACTGACATGGCATCTTTGGAGACATATGATACATATGATAAGTAGCAAACTCTGAATAATAATAAGCTATTATTAATAAAGTTATTAATAAACTATTATTAACAAAAACTACCACTGCTGAGTACTTAATGTGCACCAAGAATTGTCCTAAATGTTCTGCCTGTCCTAAATTGCTGAATGCTTACAACGACCCTACAAGGTAAGCACGCTCTTATCAATGCCGACGGATGACCAGCTGAAGCCCTGAGAGTTCAGGATGCCTTCAGGGTCACGTAGCCAGGAGGTGGCAGAGCTGGGAACAGAACCCAGGCATGCAGGCTGGCTGTGAGTGCAGGTTCTTAAGCAATGCACAGTGTTTCAGGCAACAAATGTGGCAGTGACATGTGAGACAAAATGCAGGAGAGGCAAGTAGGAGGAACTTCAGTAAACAGCAAGAGAGAACACAACAGATACAAATGATCTAAGGAAAAAGTGAAGAATTTTCACCATGGAACAATTTATCTTCATTTAAAGGATGGTCACTCTGCAAAACAGAATTAAAGGAAAGACCCTAAACTCTGACACAGCTAATAGAATTTGCAGACCTTGCAAATGATAATTGAAAATGTTTTTACATTTTGAGAAAATGTTTCCTTAAAACTGATGTGTATAGAACCTCCAGTCTCTAAAGGATGGTTTTAACACATACCTGTTCACCAAATCCCCAATTCAGTCCTTCTAGAATAACGCAGGCCAATTTATTCTTCACCACTGTCAGGTTATAATTCAATAACCAATCCCGAATCACTGCTATCTCAGAGGCAGATGGTCGCCAGAGATACAAAGGCAGTTCTTTAAACAAGTATAAAGAAACCTTATTTGAAAGAAAATGATCATAATTAAGATCGAAATTAAGAACAATCCTGTGTTACTTTAATATTATATTATTAAACTGCTTGAAAATTTTTTTTTCCAAAAGGAAGTGAGGTTTTGTTTGATTTTTAGACAAATGAAATGGACATCATGCACAACCAAATGAAGTAAGTATTAAAACCAGTAATACACCAAAAGCACATTTTGTTACCCTTTGTAAAGGTCATTAATCTTTTATTATATATAAAATGGTTTACTTCCACTTAAGAAAACCATTTAAGAGTACCAAGACCCAAATTTAAAGCTATGATAAATGAGGAGATAGTCATTTATTTTACAAGAAGATTTAACACGTTAAATAATTATTTAAATAAACAAAAAATAGAACTAGACTAAAGACAGAGAACAAACTAGTAGTTGCCAGAGGTGAGGAGAGTAAGGGGATGGGCAAAAAGGTACAAACTTCCAGTTATAAAATAAGTCACAGGGATGAGAACTACAGATAGGGATTACACTCAATGATATTATAATCACTTTGTATAATGACAGATGGTGACTACATTTAGTGTATGGCGAGCATCTCATAATGTATGCAACTGTCAAGTCACTATGTTGCACACCTGAAATGAATATAATATTGCATGTCAACTATAAAAAAATAATTATTTCTTCTGTGACATTTAAAAAGGTATTTCTGTTAGCTTCCAAGCAATCTGGGGAGGAGGGAAAGGACTCGATGGAGGTGAAGAGGAAATAAGATGGACCAAGAGTTGGTAACTGTTGAAGCTGGATGATGGATACAAAGGGATCCATGACCCTATTCTCTCTTTTATAGAGATTTGAAAGATTCTGTAATAAAAAGTTTTTAAAATCTGTTTACAAAAAGTCTATAGCATCAACTTTGTGAACAACATATCCATGTGTGCAAATTAAGATAAATCTGGGTTCACTCAATAGTTTGTTTTAAGGGGGACTGATCAGAAGAGCAATTCATTTTATAATGTCTAGAACAGTGCTAGCCAATGGAAGCATAATGCAAGTCAATATGTAATTTTAATTTTTCTAACAGCCACCACATTTTTAAGAGTTAACCAAGTAAAGTTAATTTTAATAATATATTTCATTTAGTCCCATACACCCAGTACGTTATCAACATATAATCATTACACAAAACTATTGAGACAGGTTACATACTTTTGTTCATATGAAGTCTTTGAAACCTAGTGAGTAGTTTACACTTACAGTACACCTCAATTTGGGCTAGCCATCTTTTAAGGACTCTATAGTTACACATACCTAGTGGCTACTGTATTGGACAACACAGATCTAGAACATACATACATACTAGTATTTTTCAGGTTTCTGCACTGCTCCCAATGAGAGGCAAAACAAAATGTGAAAGAACAGTAGAAAGAATCAATTTTAAAGAAATCTTTCCTTTGTGTGTATGTGTGCACTCACAGTTAAATTTTCATGAGGACTTGTTAATAAGGGTCTTGAATATTCTCAATAAAATGGTAAAATAATAATTTTAGAGATGGAAAAATCCTACTTTACCCCATGAGAATTTGAAAGAAAGGGCAAAATAATGGTTCTAGAACAGTTAGCACAGCAATGAAATCCATCCAGAAAAACATCTATCCCAGCTAGATAAAATTATGGTTTAGCATGTATCTGTCCACTAAGAATCAAAGTGTGACTATCATGAAAGACCTAGGGACATTAAAAGGTTAACAAAGGAATATTACCAAAAACTCTACGCCAATAAATTCAACTAGTTAGATGAAATTGGAAAATGCCTTTAAAAACATAACCTACCAAAACTAACTAAGGAAAAATAAAAATCTGAAGAGCTCTGTGTGTTTAAAAAATGCAAATTGTTATCAAAGGGTTTTCTACCAAAAAAACTCTAGGGCTAGATGATTTTTTCACTGTTAACTCCATCAAACAGTCAAGTTAGAATTAACAGCAATCTTAAAAAACTCTTACAAGAAACAGAAGAAGGAATGCTTCCCAACTCACATGATGAGGCCAACATAATCCTAAAATAAAAACCTAACGAAGACATAACAATAAAACTAGAGATCAATACCCTCATAAATATACATGTAAAAATCCTCAACAAAAAATATTATCAAACTGAATCTATCAACATATATCAAAAATAATACACCATGATTCAGTGGCTTTTATTCCAGGGAACAATAATGGTTCAACATTTGAAAACTAGAACAGTTTAGAGCCCAGAGATCATTCCCAGTCTCTGGGGCTAGATCTGATTCCTGATTATCCCAAGGTGACAACAAAAATCTTCAGAGCTATCCTATTCATCTAAAGGTATAGAGGGTTTGAACAAGTTCCTCCAAAAATGTCAGCAAGTTCACAGAGTGCAAAGGAACTACAGGTATAAACAGAGAGGAGAGCCATCTTTAACAAGATGTGCTCTAAAAACCTTATGGTCCCAACTTTTACAGTTAAATATACCTCTGGGCAGAGTTTACTACTTGAAGTATTATGACTAAATTTAAAATATAAGTGTACTCAAAACCAGAAAAACACTTAAGAGAAAATAGTGATGAGTTCAATCAAATGGGAAGAATCTTGTGACACCTCCCCCATGTATATTTCTTTGGGACTCATCCCATCAGATAATCACTCGAACCTGAACAACTAAAAACATGCTCCTGTATGTTGCACATAAAAAGCCTTTCATCTCAACATAAGCATATCACAGTGGGCTACAATGCTTTCCTTAAAAACTACTACTGCCACATGGAAAACAGTATGGTGGTGCCTCAAAAAATGATAAATAGAATTACCTGATGTTCCAGCAATTCTACTTCTGGGCATATCCCCAAAAGAATGGAAAGCATGATCTCAAAGAGAAAGCTGTATTCTCCTATTCGTAGCAGCATTATTCACAGCAGCCAAAAGGAAGAAGCAATCTGAGTGCCCATCAAGAGATGAACAGACAAACAAAATGTCCATACTTACAATAGAATATTATTCTGGCTTAAAAAGGAAGGAAATTCTGACACATGCTATGACATGCATAAACATTGACCACAATATGTTAAATGAAGTAAGCCAATCACAAAAGGAGAAATACTGGATGGTTTCACTTATATGAGGTACCCGGACCAGTCAAACTCATAGAGAAAGTAGAATGTTGGCTGCCAGGGCTGGAGGGAGGAGGATGAAGGTAAAGGAGACTTCCTGTTTAATTGGTACTGAGTTCCAGTTTTGCAAGATGAAAAGAGGTCTACAGATGGATGATGGGGACGGTAGGCAGCAAGACAATGTGAATGTACTTAATGTCACTGAACTTAAAAAGGGCAAAAATGGTATATTTTATGTTGCATATAATTTACCACCATTAAATCTTTTAATGTAAAAAAAAGTACCATGTACTCTTCCAAGGAAAGCACGGTATATCATGTATCCTTTATTTAGAAAAAAATGTGTCTCGTGAACCAATCTTTCACTGGAATTTGCCCACTTTTGTGACAGTTATCAGTCATCTATCATACAGGAATAATGCAGTGACTACAAGACAGAAGGGCCCTTTGCAAATACCATACAGAAAAGTGCTTTAAATGTTCCTCTTCAAGTTATAATACGTGACTCCCTGCCATTAGAAAAACTCACACATTACAGCCTTCTTAAAGATGATGATGAAGATCTTCGTTAAGTGCATGTTTTTAAAAAATGGCACATGCCTACAATGGAATGTTATTTGGCCATCAAAAAGCAGAAAGCACTGACTCATGCTACAACACGGATGAACCTGAAAAACATTACGCTAAGTAAAAGCAGCCAGTCACAGACCACCTATCATATAACTCTGTTTATATAATATGTTCAGAAGAGGGGCGCCTGGGTGGCTAAGTCATTAAGCATCTGCCTTTGGCTCAGGTCATGATCCCAGGGTCCTGAGATCAAGCCCCACTTTGGGCTCTCTGCTCAGCGGGAAGCCTGCTTCTCCCTCTCCCACTCTGCCTGCTTGTGTTCCCTCTCTATCTCTCTGTCGAATAAATAAATAAATAATCTTTTTAAAAAATAAAAATAAAATTAAATAAAATAAAATGTCCAGAAGAGTCAAATCTAGAGACAAAAGGCACATTAGTGATGGCTTAGGGCTGCCAGGAAGAGAGAGACAGAGTGTAAGAGTTAAAGACCTTGTGGTTTCTTTCTGAGGTGATGAAAATGTTCTAAAATTGAGAATGGTGATGGCTGCGCAACTCTATGAGTATACTAAAAGCCATTGGCTTACAAGCTTTAAGCAGATTAATTGTATGGCATATGAATTATATCACAACACAGCTGTTTTTAACATGGACAAAGATTACAAAAGGGGCTGTGACAAATGACAGAAGTCAACCTAAATCACCACTTTTAATTTTGCTTTTGGCTGATGTAAATAGGGCCTTTCTTCCTAATCAGGGTTGTTTTCTTCCAAGTATAAAACATAAAAATTATGACAGCCAAACAAACTTTGAAATGCAAACAGTTATGAACTACAGACTACAATTAGAAGAAAAACCTGTTAGGGAGGTTACAGACTTTTTGTACAAAGCCGCTAACCCCAAGCAGGCCTGGTGAGTGGCAGAGCCTGGGACACGTACATGCTCTCTTCACCCTGCTGTGCCTGTGACTCAGACATTCCCAACAACCTATTTTTCTCATTGCTCCATGAGTGTAGGATTTAACAGAACAAAAAAAGCAAAACAAACAAAATCATTGCTCTTACCATTCCCACCTGGTCAATGGTGTCTTGAACTCGATCCAAAAGGATAGATATTATCTCAGGGTGAACAGCTGTGATGGCCCCTAAGAGCTCTCGACCAACCTTTGAAAAAGTCTCCCTGGTGGACAGGGTGATGTAAGATACCTAAAGGTGGGAGAAGGTGGAAATGGTACTTTCAGTCAATTGTCAGTCAAAAGACAGTTCCATACTTCATTTAGGACATCTTCAAGCAAACGAGAAAGAATCTCACACTGAGCCTCAGGTCACACTATGTTCAAGAAGATGTCGAACCTTCAGAAGGCAAACCGTCTATCCTGAGGCTGGGAGTCAGAAGGGGCAGGGAAGCAACTATAAAACAACAACTCCAACTGCCCTGCATAGTAAATACATCCCAAAGTCTGTCTGTAGCTATAAAATAGTCCCTTTGGTGTAAAAACTTCTTTAAAACTGCTAAAATGATAAAAATCAGAATGCATTTCATAGAAATACCTATTTTCTCCTACAAAATAAGATCCCCACTGACAAGAGCTTCTAAAATAGCAATGTTCACCAATGCCTCTTGAACAACATATTCCGAAGTACAGGCTGCAATCCATTGATGTCAATGGCAAGCAGATTTTTTTAAAAATACAAGGGAATAGAACAAAAAAATAACAGAAAAAAGTGAGAGTGCGTCTCAGTAAGATTAAGTGCTGCTTCAATTTCACACATGTACACATACACACAGACACACAAGAAGAATCAGAATGTAATACACAATGTAATTTTTACTCTAAGTACTGGCCAACATCCTTGAAACATTCAAGAATACAAATGTTACTTTCACAAAAGACCTTGAGAACACCACTTACTGTATATGAAAACAGTCTTTCCCCAACCCCCTGCAATATTCTCATATCATGAAGATAGTCTGGCATGCCAGACTGATTTAGGCCTTAACTTCACGCTAAGTACAAAGTACAATAGCCTAGTGTTTGAATAGCCTAGTATTTGATCCTGGAAAAGAACTTTAGATCATCCAGTTGTATCATTCTCAAACCAGAGTACTGGGGAGAAAATTATAAACTCAGATAATCTTCTTCAAACATAATTTGACTTCAAGTTTACTTGAATAGTTTGGAAGAAATACTTTTTAATGAAAATAAACAAATAAATGACACCCTAAATGGAAAATATGCATCTTTTTAAATATATGGGTTATGCCTCTAGACACTCAGGGTCCAGAGTCTACTCTCTTCCTCCCTTAGTGACGGCTTAGCGGAAGAAGGCAAGGATCTCATCCCACCTCGTCATTTTATAGCTGAGGAAGCTGAGCCCAGAGTGGGAAGGCACCTTTTCAGCTGTGAGATGGGAAACTGCTAGCAGAGTTAAAATAAGCACAGGTCTTCTATGTGAGCGTCAGTATTCTTTCCACCACTTCATATAAACTGGCTCGGCAGGGGCGCCTGGGTGGCTCAGCTGGTTATGCGCCTGACTCTTGATATCAGCTGAGGTCATGATCTCGGGATTGTGGAATCGAGCCCTGTGTCAGGCTCAGAGCTCACTGGGGTGTCTCTTGATATTCTCATTCCCTTGCCCTCTGCCCCTCCCCCCACTTGCACACTAAATAAATAAATAAAATCTTTTTACAAATAAATAAACTGGCTCAGAAGCCAGGCCTCCGTGTTACTGGCAGTGTTGTGGGGCAGAGCAGCAGCAGACACTGTTAAAACCGCAAGTGTCAGGCTGTGCCAGATGGTCTATTCCTCATTGAAACTCACCCATCAAATGTCAAGAGAGTAAGGGGAAGTGGAATGAGCAGGATTCATATTTTCAATACTCCTTATAGCAACATGATATTCGTTTGATTTTCTACCTCCTTCCATACCCAGTACAAGTTAGTCACATTTTTTTTTGTAAAGCAATCCCAAAAGAAACATCCCAAACAATCCCAAAGAAACAAACATCCCAAAGAAAACAATCCCAAAGAAAACATTTTTTAGCTGACTTCTAAAACTTAATATTCTAACCTCATATATCTCCAGAACAATAATTTTTATGAAATCTTCATCCACATTGGTTCTTCTGGCCTGAGCCATCTGAGCAAATGTAGTCAGAAGGCAAATCTCTTCCGAGCTATTCATGGAAGAAAGACACTTCTCAAAGTTCACAAAGTGTTCTGGGTCTGCAAGTTCAGGGCAAGAAAATTAGAAGAAAGAATGAAGAGATATCACTTTTAATCACTCTCCCAGAGAGAAAGGAGGTATAAAATTAGAAGATATTTAGAAATATCTTTTAATATATTTATAATATTTAGAAACGATTCTTTGTTCCAGAATGGATTTCTACAGGCTTCGGGGGAAAAGGCAGGGACCAGATGAAATTCCAACTCTACATATAATGTAGCCTCAAAGTTAACACTTAATACCCCCAAGCCTCAGTTTCTCCATCTGCCTTAAAAGGTTGTTGAAGATTAAATGACACTAGTGACTAGTGACAGGTTTTGTCACCAGGTGAGACACCTTCAAAGACACATCTGAAACAATTTTGTTAACTGTCAGCCAAATGAATGATGACGACCTTACTAATGAGAACTGCTAAGACTAGCAAAGCACTCAGTGCAAACACAGCATTCATTCCAAACAAAAGAGATTTTCTTATAAATGAAAATCTGGGGCAAGAAAGTAGTTACAACCATGACTGCAATACTGCTAAATGTGATAAATAGTACACAGTGTGTTCATTCTACCAACTTCTCCGAGGATGCAGTGTACGCAATACACTATTTTGTCACTAGGGGGCACTAGAGTTTTGGGATCCATGACAGAAAACTAAATGCTACAAAGGCAAAGATACAGGGGAAAGATTGAAAAAATAGTCTGTTTAAAAAATACATTCCCCTGGGCGCCTGGGTGGCTCAGTGGGTTAAGCCGCTGCCTTCGGCTCAGGTCATGATCTCAGGGTCCTGGGATCGAGTCCCGCATCGGGCTCCCTGCTCAGCAGGGAGTCTGCTTCCCTCTCTCTCTCTGCCTGCTTCTCTGTCTACTTGTGATCTCTCTCTGTCAAATAAATAAATAAAATCTTAAAAAAAAAAAAAAAATACATTCCCCTGATGGAATTTGCACAATAAGAAAGCAGTAAGCCTACACTTCTTTCCAGGTGTTTACACATTTCAGAAATCAAAGGTAGTCCATCAAATGTTATTTTCAAAATAACTCCATGGGGGCATTTACAACCCAATTTTCATTTCTCATCCCCGAGCTGGGATCATACCAAGTTCTACCCAGAGCATTTCAAGAATAATGAAAACTGGAATTATCATTCTAATATGTCGAAGCAATAAAGCAGTCTTTCGAATTTCAAAATTATTACATACGAGTATACAGAGTAAAATGTTCTCTTAGTCCTTCTAAAAATAAAAGGAATAAAGCCATGAAGGCACACTGGGGGGAAAAGAGCTGCACAGCACACTCTGGCCAGACTGTACCTTGGAGCTGCTTCTTGCACTCAGCAGGCGGGAGAGCAACGCAGAGCTTCTCCAGATTCCCACTCTCCACCTGGTGCATGAGGTAGAAGAGCTTCCAGAGCATCTGCACCGACAGCGTCCCAAAGGGCATTTCTGACATAAACAGCCAAATGCCAAGTCTGCGTGTTTTAAAGAGTAGGAATAGTTTCATTTATCAGTCAACTTCACCACACTGAGAAAGCAGGCAGACCTGCTCTGGTAGAAAAAAAAAGTTCTTACATCACAACACAGCAATTTTTCTAACATGCTTCGGCCACCGACACCTCAAGGACAGGTAACAGTAACAGCAAGACTCGCACAGGAACTTTGTCTGTGTCAGGCCCTGTTCTACTCACGCTGCCATACAGATCATCTCACTCCGTCCTCACAAAAACCAAGGCAAGTATTACTAGTGACACTCTCCCCACTTTACGCGTAAGGCTCCTAAGGCACAGGAAGGTAATAGGAGGCAGAGCTGTGTTTTGAACCAAAGATCTTTTTAAGGCCTGGGTGACTGGCGCTTAGATACGGATGCCTGTGTCTGAGTCTACGTGCAGGTACGAGTGTGCACACAGACACATGTGCAATGAGAGAGAGGACAATCAAAAATCCTGCAGGGCCTCTCCACTCATCACTGAATGAAATTCACACTCCTCAGCCCCACGTCCAAAGGCTTCCACTATACAGCTCAGACCCATGTTTCTAACCAGAGGCCTCGCTGCATGCAGAGTATGAGACCATTCCTGGATGAGCCCGGCAAGAATCTCGTACCTCCAAGCTGCCATCCCTCCAACTGTGAAGCCCTCCTCTGATTTCCTCCTCGGCACTATTATAGAACTCCATCCATACCTGACTTTGGCAATATCATGCCCTTTATGGGTGGTTCTTAAACCAGAGCGGGCAGAAAAAATCACAGGGAGACTATTCTAGGGGGGAGAAATGAGTAAAGGACAAGCAGGGCTAGGCTGGGAGAGATAAATAGGGGGCTACGTGATCAGGCTCACAGAAATCCCAAAAATGTGCAGGCGTGGAGAAACCAGGCATAATGGAACAAACCCAACCACCTGCCCTAGGCCTGTGGGGTGGGTGTCTTTTTTATGATAATCACCTATGACCAACAAAGAATAACCAGACCCTAAAAAGGAAGTAAGCCATTGAAGGTATTATCACTAGTCCTTGCTCAATGTTGGTATCAATAGAGATGTTAAAAACAATGTAAGTTCCTTGGTTAGCTTTCTAGAAAAGACCAACTGTAAAGGCCATCAGTGGCAATCCTGTAGGAACCCCTCTCACTCTTGAGAGCTTTTTCTGTATGTTCACTTAATAAACTTCAATTGCTTTACTCACACACACACACACACACACACAGACAAACAACAACGACAAAAAAAAAAACCAGGAGACTTTGTGGGAAATGCAGATTCCAAGGCCTGCCTACACAGATCCTGATTTTGTAGGTCACAGCTCCGGCCCAAGAATTTTCAGGTTCTAGTCATCCCGGGTGACTCAGACTCAAGTGCTCCTCAAACAACACAGTGAGAAATGCCTCAAGTTGCTGTAATTTACATACACATACAAACCACAACAATTTGAGAGTAGAAACCAGGTTTTGTTCATCTTTGAATAAACTTAAATGTAACCTAGAGCCTTATATTCAAATTATCCCCTACCTAAACCAGTATCTTGCAAACAATCAGCACTCAGTAAATGCTCGTTAAAATTGGGTTAAAAAATGAATTTTATCTCAAAAAAATATTTTAAAAAACAGGGAAGCACTCAAAACTGTTGCTGTATTTTGGACAAACCTACAAATTGACCAAATACAAACAAACAAAGCTTATTAAGAGAAAAAGAATAAGAAATTAAATAGTATAAGCCAGACCCACATCTATGCGCCATCACCATGCTACTAGTGGCCCAAATCACCACTGACCTAGATTCTGAAAAGCAGTAGTTAGACTCCTGAGCAAAGGTTGAAGAAACTGTTAAGTTCAGTTGGGCCAAGCTTCTGTCTTATTAAATAATTATCCTAACACCTCACATAGGACCTGACTCTCTTGTATAACTTATCCCAAAACAGTAAGAGGAATTTAAAGAGGCCTTAAAAGTAATATCATGAGACTCTGTATTTCAGGCCATGAAATCCCCCATATGGCAGCTATGCAGTAAGTCTGGCTTAGGTTTTTGCTGTCCTTTGGTTTTGTTTTGCTTTGGGTTGGGGGATAACCACTGTCAGAAATTTCTACTGGAAAGCCAAATACATTTAAATGTCATCATGGCTTTAAATATCTGATTCTTGTGTAATCTCTTTCCTAAAATAAATTATACTCAAGAACAACAGTTCTCAATATTTTAAAGTTTAAAATGACAGGACTGCCTTTGTGAATTACACACAGGAGAAGAGTTCACAGCTCCAACTCTAGGAATTGGTAACTATGGTGAGAGCTTTCCATCTCAGCTAAGTGGCCACAAGGACAAGTGACAGATTAGACACAGGAGACTATTCCTGACCCCCAGCAGGATTCTGCACAGGATCTGGTAAACCCGATGAGACCACCAAATTTATGGACAATATAGAATGAGTAATGAGTAAAGATAAATATCTAAGCCCAAGTTCTATATATCTTAGATCCATGCCTTCCGAGTGCCTAAAAGTGCTTAAGACTTAGTCAAGGAGTTCTGATATTTCTCTAAGTGAGCAGTTACTCTATTCTTCATCTGAAGCCACAAAGAACCACCACCACCTACATCCAAAAGGTCCTTCATGATTTAAAAAGTATTTCCATATACTACTGCATTTCATCCTGGGCACATATCCATGAGGTCGATGGAACAGGCAGAATCATTACCATCATCTCCATTTTATAAATGAGGAAAGTGAGAAGACAAAGACTAGGTGACTGGCCCAAGGTGCCAGTAAACAGCAGGCAAGACTCAAAGCCACTGCACAGCACACACTGAGTACGGCTGAAGTTTGAGATCATGGCAAGAGGGAGCACAGACAACTCAGAAGAAGGCAAAGCTGGGGAAGAGCTGGCAGCTCATGAGTGGACTGGAGGCCAGCAAACATCTCCCAGCAGAGGGCACAACGCTTGGCAGAACTTGCTCCTACACTTGGCCAGATGCTCAGGGAAGACAGTGCAGGAGGCACCACTGTGCCCCTGCCCCTCCCTCAAGTGTATCCCAGGCTAAAAGCAGCAACAAAGACAACATGACCAGAAGACAGCATTTATACAGCCAAGCACAGGGGCCCAGGACCCATGAGAATCCTCACGGTAAGACAACTTGAACAATAAAATGGGCAAATCATTTGTGCTGTGCACTGAGCACCTGCCCTGCCTCACTTAGGCACTGAGATGGGTGGGAAAGAAAATTCACACCTTGTTCAAGGCTTCCCCGAAAGCTGAGAGATGACACCACTGAGGTATCAGAATCAGGTTATTTTAAGATTGAAAAAAAAAAAAAACTTAAAAAGAGCATTTCAGTCCACCACGACAGATAAGGAAACTTAAAGACAATGAATTTGCCCAAGATAAGAAACAGATGAAATGCACTCAGACATTATTGTAAGAGATCTAACTGTAGTCGATGACTTTCGCACCAATCTTCCTCACGAGTCAGGGAGCCATTTCTCAACAATCATCATCACACGTCTTACCTTTTGGCTTTCAGCACATGCAGGACAGCTCTCAGAAACAGTTCATCAAATTCAACCTGTAGTTTCTCCACGGAGTAGGGCTGCTGGGCCAGACCCAAGCCTCGGCTGTGGCTCACAAACTGTGCCCAATGGTCGCTCACATAACCAAGGGTCATCCTAAGCAGGAGGAAAGGCAATACAGCACTTTTCATTCACGTACTCAATCCTGGCACCTTCATATTACATTGGAAGCACTAATTTACTCAGTAGATATTCATGGAACACCTGCTATCTTCGAGGCTCTAAAGATAGTCACTGGGAGGGCAAACCCCACCCTTACGTGGCTGACATTAACGGAGGCAAACAGACAACAAAGTAAAGGGAAAAGTATAATCTGTCCAATGGTCATAAGTGACGACGAAAATAAGTAGGAGAGGGGACTAAAGTTTCTCTGGAGTTGGCCAGAGTAAGGAGGTTGGCTGGGAGCAGGAAAGGCCTCACTGAAGAGGGACGTGTGAGTAAAGACAGGGGTATCTAAGGGAAGAGCATCCGGGTAGAAGGAACAACCAGGGAGAGGGCTCCAAGGCATAATCAGGATGTTGGAGGAACAGCAAGGCAGCCAGCGCGTGAAAGCAAGGTAAGCGGGCAGGAGACTGGCTGGAGACGAAATCAGAAAAGTGACAGGAGACCAGGCCACTTCGAACCCTTTGGCTTTTATTCTGACCAAGACTGGGAGCAGACAAGTGACATGAGCTACTGACTCACCACTTACAGGGAACACTGGCTGTTGTGTGAGTAAGCCGAGGGCAGAGCAAGGGCAAAAGCAGGAAGACGAGTCAGGAGGCATTAACAATGATATTTGTAATTCAGGAGAAATATGGGAGAATGAACTAGGGCGGTAGCAGTGAACTCGGGGAGAAGTGGCTGGATTCTGGAAACCGCGGGTTTCATTAGTTTAAAAGGATGCGCATCTTTCACACTATAATCCCCAAAAATTGGAATGTGCGCTAAACTGATAACGTGCCATACTTCCGTAGCATTTTTTCTTAGAGGCACACAAAATGCATCTTCAGAACTGGTGTCATCTTAGATTTGATGACAGTGTTTTGAAGGTAGAGATGACAGAATCGGCTGTCACACTGGATGTGGGGTATAAAAAGACGGGGATGACACCAAGTATTCTGGCCTGAGCAACCAGATTAAAGTTGCCACTTACTTAAGACAGAAAGGCCAAGGAGGAGCAGCTTGGGAGGTGGGATGGGGGAGGTCCATTGGGTGTATTAAACTACAATGTCTGTGAGTCATCCAAGGGGAGGTGCTGAGTTGGCAGCTGGGCTTACAGGCTTAAGAGAGAGGCACGAGCTAAAAATAGAACTCTGAGAACCGCTGTAGTGCTTCAATGACATTTAAAGACATGAGAATGGATAAGGTCCGAAGAGCAAGTTTCGATGGAGAGAAGAGGTCCAGGAACCGAGTCCTGGGGCCGTACAACATCAAGAAGTTTGAGAGTGAGGGTGAAACAACCAAAGAGGCAGAAAATGAGAAGCTAGGGAAATGGAGGAGAAACCAGAATATGGGATCCTGGAAACCAAGCAAAGAAAATGTTTGTTTTCTTTTTAAAGATTTTATTTATTTATTTATTTATTTGAGAGAGAGAGAGATCACAAGTAGGCAGAGAGGCAGGCAGAGAGAGGGGTAAGCAGGCTCCCTGCTGAGCAAAGAGCCCGATGTGGGGCTCGATCCCAAGACCCTGAGATCATGACCTGAGCCGAAGGCAAAGGCTTTACCCACTGAGCCACCCAGGCACCCCAAAGAAAATGTTTAAAGGAGAAAGTGAGCAACTCTGAGAAAGCTATGTCAACTATGGGAGAAATATAAGGGAGAAGACTCAGAACTGGCCAGTGGCGCAGTAGAACAAAGTTCATTAGTGCCCTTCATTCTTAAGAGCTGCCTAGGGGGTCCAGGGGTGGGGTGTGGGGAGAGCCTGACGGTGGAGAATTCAAGCAAGAATGGAGGGAAAAACCTGGAACCAATAGATGACCTGAAGAGAGTGACCTTATAGAAAACAGTTCTACAACTGGAAGGCGTGAGAAGAATGTGCAATAGATACAAAGAAAAATAAGCAGATGGAAGACAAAGAAAGGTCATAATACACTATAATAATCAACTGTATTTACACAGAAATATTATAGAATGAATACCGACCTTAAAGCAGGAATAACAATGTCTTTCCTACAGAGTTATTGGGAGAATAAAACGTGAAAGTATATCGCTGGCATGTAGCGGGCACTCAATCCTACATCACATAAACGAACCCAAGGACAGGCTTTACCTTATTCACCAAGCTCAATCAGAAAATGAACGCCTGAACTTCTAATAATGAGTACATGGGCTTTTAGATTTAAAGAAATTACTCTCCCAAGTCACCAGCCATCCTCCCTTCCACGGTCTCTTGTTTTCAATACCCTCTACTAAAGGCTTTTAAAGACCTTAAAAGTCACAGCCTTGCAGGGCATCCTACAACCATTTACCTGGCTTTACAAAGCACATGGAAGCACATCAAAAATAAATTAATTATAATCAATTTTGTTTAGGAAACCTCACTGAGGAAGGGGAGAGGTTTTAGAGGCTTTTAAGTTGGAATAAACAACAGCATACTCATGTGCTATAGGGAATGACAGTAAAGACAGAAAAATTAATAATGCAGAAAAAAGGATACAAAATTAATTCAATAAAAAGCATACATGTTCTCAAAATTTATTCATACTTGATCATAAAAGCATAAACTCATTTTTCAATCAAATAAATGATAATGCTTTCCTCAGTTCAAAACAGGGGCCAATGACAGAAGTTTTTGCAACTTTCTTTAAATGGCATTTAACAGAAAATCAGGATAAGAATAAATAAGAGAGGTAAACGGAAAACAATGACATGACAGAGCTATTGCCAATCCTCTGCAGCTAAGTGACAATTCCCAGGTAAAAGTGAGGAAGTAGAAGAACACAAGGAGCAAAGGAAAGGGAGAGAGGCTTCAAAGAGGCTTCATTTTCCATGACTGAGCTGAGTTTCTCTGGCCAAGTTCAACCCAGCAACTACTTTGAGAACCTTGACTCCAAGAACAATTATCTAACAAACCAGTTAAATTTGAGATAATTAACCAAATATTCTGACTGGAAGCATTCATAGATTTCCCATCTGCCAGATGGTGAAAAAAAAATTCTTACTTTTATGATAAATCAGACCCGAATCGTACACTGAGATGTCCATCATCTCAATTTCACACAGTATGTATGCCTGACCCAGGCAAAGGCAAACAGAAACAGATGTACCAACAGCAGTATTACCTGATCATATAACCAATTCGCTTCACAAACTGCCTGTAGCGTGCCCTGTTAAAGGTTTCTAACCCCACAGCCAGAAGCTCCACTAGTGAGTTAGCAAAGGCAAAAATTTTCATCATCTCTTGAGGTCTTGTTGTTTCAGGTGAATAATCACCTAGAAAATAATTGGAGAAAAGGGAGAAATTAATATTACTATCAAAAAACAATGAAGGACACAGATGTAAACACCTCAGTGAGGAAACAAAGCCAAAGGTGAGAAAACTCAACAATCCCATTGCTCTGGCTTCTCTGTCAACATGACATGGGGAACCTGAGACAAAGTGTAAAATGAAAGCAATATATTTAAAGCTGGTGACGTAGGGGGCACCTGGGTGGCTCACTCGGTTAAGCATCTGCCTTCTGTTTGGGTCATGGTCTCTGGGTCCTGGGATAAAGCCCCACATTGGGATCCCTGCTCAGTGGAGAGTGTGCTTCTCCCTCTGCCTCCCCCTCCTTCCTGCTCATGCCCCCCCCCAAATAAATAAATACAATCTTAAAAAAAGAAAAGCTGGGCAGTGTGCAAGCTAGCTGACCTTTCTGCATCTCAGCACTAGGTGGGAAATTACAAACACAAGAGAAAGGAAGGAAATCGCACTGAGATATGATGCAACCATGTCTGCACGGGAGGGCCAGGCACCCAGGAATCTGGATCAGGAACCTGCCCAAGTTGGAAGGCTGGATGCTGAGCTCCTGGAATGAGCTTGCCACAATCCTATTTACCACACAACAAAAGAAATCAGTCTACCTTTTGCTTTAAACCCAAGAAGATGCTGAAAGAGTTCATGGAACGGAAACTGGGATAAAAGGATAACCAAGTCATCCTCATTAAGGAGAAGCCAACTGGTCTCAGGATCTTCATCCTAAGGGGAAAGATGCAAAATCATGTCAGCTGATTGGATCAGAACACACCAGGGTCTAGAGTTACAAGAGTTAAATTATCACAGATACAAGTCCTACATCAGGTCCATGTGTCTTCATGGACTTCTCCTCCTACTATCAGCTCCACAGATGGGCTATAAATCCCCCGAAATTGCAAGCCCAATTATATGTGCATCTGGGTCATACCCATTCTTCCATGGCTGAAACTGCCCTCATTAAATGTCCATTCCAAAGAAGATTAAATAAAAAATTCCTCAAGAGTGGAAAATCTTACTATAAAAGCTCAGTGTTTTGATAACATGAATTTAAGAAACACATATTCAGGCCAAGTTACTTTAGCTACAAGTCTCTTGCCCCCAAATCAAGGCCTACTGTAGTATACACTGCCTTATGGCAAAGTAATCTGCATTTGCTATAGCTACTGAAGCTCTGTTGCCAGTTAGTGCTGCTAAAGCAAGAGAGAATAACAGGCCATACGTAGAGATTATACAGGAGAAACCTTTAGGGTTTTTTGTTTAATACCAAGCACTAAAGTCATCTTAGAAAACAAGTTGATTTGTGTCCTAAAATATGCTACATTCAAAAGGGAATGCTGTAAAAAGATGCAGACATCCTGAAGAATATATCACCTCAATTTCAACAAGGGACTAATGCATTCATTGGTAACCTCCCAAGCCACTCCTCCCCCCCACCCCCGCGATCCACCCCTGCCCCATTTTAGGTCCTAAATGGCTTACAAACAAGCCTCAGAAACTCTACTTAGAGCAGTAGCTCTCAACTCTGGTTCTACATCAGAATCACCTGGGAGGCTTTTACACATCTGGACGTCTGGGTGTGGGCCTGGGCGAGATTTCTAAGTTGCCCCCTGTTTGTTCCTTTTTTTTTTTTTTTTTTTAAAGATTTTTATTTATTTATTTGACAGAGAAAGAGAGAGACAGCAAGAGAGGGAACACAAGCAGGGGGAGTGGGAGAGGGAAAAGCAGGCTTCACGCTGAACAGGGAGTCCGATGTGGGGCTCGATCCCAGGACCCCTGGATCATGACCTGAGCCGAAGGCAGATGCCCAATGATTGAGCCACCCAGGCGCCCTGCCCAGTTGGTTCTAATATAGAGCCAGTATCAAGAAACCACTAATGTGAAAAACTGAGAGTACTTTCTTTCCTGCAGCCTTCTGAGTCAACAGCACTCTCAACATTCTCACCTACTCCCCAGGTTCTTGAATTCACTCAACAGTCAGTGAGGACTAGCCAGGGGCCAGGCACCACTGCAGGGTCCCCAACCATCATCTGTCTCTGGGAGTAAATGCAGGAAACCTTCTCTCTCAGGGGATAACACTCTTGTGGAGGGGGGCGGGTGGGGTGGGAACATTTCACCACAATCTTTAAATACAATTTAAAGCACCAGCTTCTGAGAAACTCTCTTCAAGGTGACTGCTGAGTCTCTAGCAGAGATGTCTGAAGAGGAAAATGAGTGCAAAGCAGCCCCCCAGTCCTGAATGAGCACTTGGATAAACACACAGACGTGATCCCCATGGCTGCCACAGCTGTCATTGTGAGAACTGTCTGCTGCAAACTGTCAACTTCTTTTAAAAAGAAGGAGTCTTGGGGTACCTGGGCGGCTCAGTGGGTTAAAGCCTCTGCCCTCGGCTCAGGTCATGATCCCAGGGTCCTGGGATAGAGCCCTGCATCAGCTCTCTGCTCAGCGGGGAGCCTGCTTCCTTCTCTCTCTCTCTCTGCCTGCCTCTCTGCCTACTTGTGATCTCTATCTGTCAAATAAATAAATAAAATAATTTTAAAAATAAATAAAAAATTTAAAAAAGAAAAAGAAAAAGAAGGAGTCTTGGGACGCCTGGGTGGCTCAGTCATTGGGCGTCTGCCTTTGGCTCAGGTCATGATCCCCGGGTCCAGGGATAGAGCCCTGCATCAGGCTCCCCACTCAACAGGAAGCCTGCTTCTCCTTCTCCCACTCCCCTGCTTGTGCTCCCTCTCTCACTATCTCTGTCAAATGAATAAAATCTTAAAAAAAAAAAAAAAAAAGAAAAAGACAGTATTTAAAAAAAAAAATAAAAAGAAGACTTAGTAAATCTGGTCCCTGGCCTCCTTGACAGCACGTCAAATCAGGATGTGGACCATAAAAGAGCACGTGGGCAAGTAACTATCTGGAGGGAAAATTCCTGACAGATACACGAACCCTATGTACAGCAGAAAGAAAAATCAACAAGTACTATCTTGAGAAACTGGATTTGGATCACTTAGTTCTCACCAAGAATAAAGAACCATCTTCTACCTTACAAATGAGACGATCTGGATAGGAAGTATTCATAAGAATTAAAGGAAGAGCTGGGTAAGCTCCAGCTCTTTACTATACAGACTCACATTACCTGCTGGGAAAACTCCTTCACCCCCTGCACCTCAGTTTTCTCACACCAGTACCTGCCCTCATGGGGCTGTGGCAGAAGTCAAGGAAAGACCACGTGACAAGTGCTTAGAACAACGTGTGGCACATAAGAGGAGCTCGACAATGATTAATGAAAATGACGCAGACACAAGTTACCTCTTCTCCTCCCTCATCTACTAGCGTCCACGTCCCGGATGCAGGCCCCGAGGAGGATGGCTTCTGCTCACTGGGCTTCATGTGGCACAGGAATTCCGCTCGATTTCTGAAGGACAAGGGAGATCACGCCAATCACATGAACACAGAAAGCCCGCATGCGTGCACTCTGGGTCATCTACTCAACCCCGCAGAAGCGTCAGCCGGCCACCCCATCATCACATGGTTTAAACTACTAAACAAATAAGACCTAGCGAGAACTCAAGGTGGCTAAAACCTAATTTTGGTGTGCAGACCTCGAGGATCCTGGATTAGTAGTGACAAGTAATTGCAGAGAAGCCGTAATGCTGGCCCAGCTCCCGCATGCCAGGACCTCAATATATACGGACTGCTGAAGGACCTCACCTCCAGCCAGGCTTACAAACTGGTGCCAGTACACGACTTGAAGAACGTGTAGTATCTGTTCTCATCAGCTTTACTGAATATAAAAAGATAATCTTCAGGTAATTCAGAAGTTTGTTTAGGGGAAAAGAGTACCTCTAAAGGCAAAACCATTTTGAAGTCAAAATCCTACCTACCACGTGTTGGAGAAGCCCCTTGTATCCAGGCAGAGAGAACTAGAGAGAACTCCTGCCAGCCACATTTCACAAGGTGTTGGCTAGACCTGATGAGCAGGTATAACCAGAGAAATTTCTTCTCTTAGACTACAACATGGTTTTCAGGCCCCTGTTCCTTCAGCCTGCCCCTGAAAAATTCACCCATTCCTTCCCGTTACGGGAACTTTCTCCCATGACTTCCAGCACACCGCTGCCCTTTCAACCCAAGGAGCTCCAATCCTGTGTGTCCACTTGTATGCCTCAATGACCTCAGACTTTCCTCCTTATAAAACGGCTCTCCTTTCTGTCCCTGTTGGTCTGTTAGGGCATGAATGCCCTCAGAGTCACTTGGGCTCAGAGGTCTACAGAGTTCTCTCGGAACCACTCCTATCCCACCAGTTCCTTATTTCATCAGCTACTTAATCCTTTTCTGGGAAGATAACCTTTAGGTTCCCCTCCTTCTCTTTCTCACCACCATTACCCCAACTCAGGCTCCGAGGCAGACAGGCTTTCCAGGACTGAGAGCCAGAGGTAATACCACTGTTCAAGGTCACCTAGATAAGACAGTGCCTTCTCTCCCTAAATGTCCTCTTGATGACGGGTTGGGATCCAGAGCCAGGAGAGCCTGAAGTCTCTAACTGCACTTCAATTAAGCAGAAGCACATCTTCTTCTGCCTTCAGTCCATCCTAGCCTTCTTGGATGATTTTTACAATTATTCAAAAGCCCTGATCTGCTACAGGGCCAGACTTTATCAAATCTAGATTCTTCTGTTTTAATGTCAAAACCTTCTATCATCCAAGTCGCTGTAGCTCTTCCACTGTATGACCATCTCCCATGCAGTCTCTGCTCCAGCCAATCGTATCCTCCGCACCGCCACCTTACCTGTACCCTGGGCCACAGCCTCTTCTCTCCGCTGACAGTGCCCTGCCTGCTCTTCTCTCTTAATGAGATCTGCCCCCATTCTTGCAACCCAGTCATACATACACCTAGAATCTTCTCTTACTGCTCCACCACCCCCCTTGAGGCTCCCCGGGGCTAGCACGCTGGTCACAGCTTCCCAAGTGGGCACTTAGATCTCTGCCCTCTTCCCCTCTCTACTACAGCTCTTCTTCCAAGGGAAAGATATCTTTCTTATCTCTCCACAGCTCCTTTCACATTGACATATATGACACGAGAGGCAAATCCACTAAAAAGGGGGACCCAAAAAAAGCTTAATTGTTTATACATAAGAAGTTAATAGGGTCGTGTTGGGGAAAAAGGGTATCGAACCCAAAGAAAATCCGCAATATTAAATTCTGGAATGCTGACACTTCCCTTAGAGGATCTTTGGATCTGGGCAGATCCTTTGGTAGAAAGAAGCATTTCAATTTCTACTTCATAAAGCTCTTCCGCACTTACTTGACAGGAGACATTAGCAGGGCAAGGGACTGCATAAAATGAAAGACCCCTGATGGGTTATTCAACACTTTGATCTGAAATCAGAAAAGGAAAAGGCATACTGTAGAAAGCTGACAACCCAAGTATCCATGATCTCAGTTCACCAGCATTCTGACAAAGGAAGCAGTTAACGAAAACAAAGATGGGACTGGCACGTAATCCCCAGGAGAGCAGGTGGGTTCCCTGGCAGTCCTGACTGAGCTGGACTCACAGAGCACAGCGAGCAGAGCAGCTGACAACTACTGTACCCACATAGGATGAACCACAATACTGGACAAAACCAAAAATCCTCCTCCTACCTAAAGAGAGTCAGACTTCTCACTGCGAGAAATACTAAAGAAAAGGTCACGTGGAGAAGCTGCCCCTGGCATGCACTTGGCTCCCACCCATCTGAGCCGTGGCTGTGAGTAACAAAATAACCCAAACGCAAGCAGCAGAGCGGAGAAACCGTGAGCTGTATAATCAGCACTGAAGGTGATTATATGAACATTGAGCACAAAGGCCTGATCTCTGCTAGCGTTAAAGAACTTTGAGATGCTCGTGGTTTCTGTTTTGCGTATACCAACCATGCTTGCGGTGGACTAATCTAGGAAGCTGTGTTGAATATCACCAGGAAAAAAAGTCCCAGCGTGTCTTCTTGCACAGAAATTCTACAGGACTACATACTATTGAATCTACTGAGCCAGAGGACAGGGGAACTTCTGCAATGCTATCTTAATTTCATCAGTGATGGGCGGCCCAAGAAGTTTCAGCATAAAAACCCCTATGAATACATATACATATACACTAAAATAGTTTAAGAATTTTGTTTGAAATATCAATACTTTTAAGCAGTTTTTTAAAGGGAAAAAAACAATTTCTTCAGGAAAAATGTTTAACAAAATCTCTCTCATCCCACTCAAAATCAGAAGACCATCATCATACCTGGATGAAAGGAACAGCCCATTTACTAACACCAGCTGGACATCGGAGAATATGGTTTAAAAGGAAGAAGTGATCTCCAGGACAGCCAACTCTTTGTAACACTGACACCTGCACAGGGAAGGACATACAGTTTCACTATCTAGTAAGAAGAAAAATGTGCCAAGGGGTCTAGTAAATCACTTAGCCAATGCTTAAATACAGGAATCTTTCAGAAGAGGAACCAGAGATCTACTGTGTATACACACACACACACACACACACACACACACATATATATATAGTATATATACAGTATATAACCAAAGATCTACTATTAACAGGTTGAGTTTCTACCACAGATGCACACGGAAGCCTAAGAACCTCTGAGTACTACAATAAAAACATCATATGTAGTTTCCAGCAAACCCAGTTTTCGTTATCTGGCAAAATACAACTTACTCACGTTCCTGGCCACATGGGAATGGATGCAAGCCAAGTAGTTTAACCTAGTCTGAGTTTGCAACAGATTCTCAAATCCAAATAAGTATGCTTGGGACTTTACCATATACGCAAGAACTCTAATATTAACCTAAAAGAAGCACCCAAGGCAGCCCCACTGAAAACACGACTAAATAAACAAGCCTCCTTCTCTAACACACTTAACATCTTTCTTAAATCTCCCAAACCCTGACACCAGCCTTTTCTCTTTTAAGTTCTTTAAGTATGACTGAACACAACACTAAATGTATGATGATACAAATAAATGATGGGATGGATGGTTTTAGATCAGCTACCTGTATTCTAAATATGTATCCCGTCTTTAATTTAGCATGCTTCCCACATTTCCATTTCTTCCTAAGCTGAAGGCCTGAGATTATTTAAAGTGTATCAGAAAGAAAAATACTACTTTGTGCTTAATGATACACTAGATAAGTATGACTTATCATGTGTCATGAACAAAAAAAGTCACTAATTAATACATTAAATGAATTAGCGGAAGAAGCTGTTGAAGAAAACTCCAGAAGGCATAATTCTTCAAATATTTGTTCCCTTACCAATTTCTGCAGCCAGAGAAGAATATCATCATGGAACTGGGTATCTTCATTAACCCTTCTGGTGAACATGAATAAGACACTGATACACTCCTTAAGTTGACAGAGGTCAGAGGGAAAGCTTTCTGTCTGTTTACAAGCTATAAAATAAAAAGAAGATTAAATGAGCCCCCACATAAACAGAGTTTTGGAGAGAATTTTTAGTGTATCTATAAATTAATTAATTAATAAAATCTTTTCAAAATATTTAGTTCAGAAAAAAATCCAAGAAGAGGGGCGCCTGGGTGGCTCAGTGGGTTAAAGTCGATGCCTTCAGCTCAGGTCATGATCTCAGGGTCCTGGGATCAAGCTCCACATCGGGCTCTCTGCTCAGTGGGGAGCCTGCTTCCCCCGCCAACCCCACTCTGCCTACTTGTGATCTCTCTCTCTGTCAAATAAATAAATAAGTAAAATCTTTAAAAAATAAAATCCAAGAAGAAAAGTTGCATCAAAAATATCTGAATTCTGGGGCTCCTGGCTGGCTCAGTTGGAAGAGCATGTGACTCTTGATCTTGGGATTTTTTTTTTTTTAAGATTTTATTTATTTATTTGACAGACAGAGATCACAAGTAGGCAGAGAGGCAGGCAGAGAAAGAGGAGGAAGCAGGCTCCCCGCTGAGCAGAGAGCCCAATGCGGGGCTCAATCCCAGGACCCCAGGAACATGACCCGAGCCGAAGGCAGAGGCTTTAACCCACTGAGCCACCCAAGTGCCCCTGATCTTGGGATTTTTGAGTTTGAGTCCAATGTTGGGTGTAAAGTTTACTTAAATAAATAAAACTTTTCTCAAAAATCTGAATATCTAAATATGTAATCCAAAAAAGTATTTAACTTTGTGAAATATTACAAAATAAGGGAAAATTAACTTCATCAAAATCCACTTTTTTTTTTTTTTTCTTTTTTTTTTATTTAACAGACAGAGATCACAAGTAGGCGGAGAGGCAGGCAGAGAAAGAGGGGGAAGCAGGCTCCCTGCTCAGCAGAGAGCCCGATGTGGGACTCGATCCCAGGACCCTGGGACCATGACCTGAGCTGAAGGCAGAGGCTTAACCCACTTGAGCCACCCAGGCGCCCCGAAAATCCACTTTTAATTTAAAAATCAGCAGATCTCTGACCTAATAATCCCAGCTCTTTGGTTAGTTATGAAAACAATGAGGGGGAAGGATTTTTTTTTTTTTTTTTTTTTTAAGAGAGAGTGGGAGAGGAAGAGAGAGAATCTTAAGCAGGCTCCACACCCAATGCAGAGTTCAACGTGGGGCTCGATCTTACAACCCTGAAATCATGAGCTTCGCTGAAATCAGGACTCAGGCGCTTAACCAATTGAGTCTTCCAGGCACCCAGAATTATTTTTTACTTTAAATACTCCTAATATCTCCCCAAGAAATAAAAACTGCATAATTCAATTAGCTAATTCATATTTACCACATCATGCAATTAAAGCTAGTTTTTTAAACCCAAATATGGTGAAAAATGCAGAACATTATAGATCCTCTGATGAAAGTTATATAAAATAGCCGAATAAACTAGACAAGCAAAAATAAAGCACAAAAGATACAGGATAAAAAGAACGCTGAGTATGGGTTTTACAATCAAAATTTATTTGAACTCTGCTTGGTAACAAGCACATAAATCGGGACTAAGGGACATTAATGATAAAAAGCAAGCTTTTTGGCCTCCCAGAGTAGCAGAGACTGACAGCCCCAGGGAAGGGAGGCCTAGCTCTGCTCCCAACAGATGTTATGAAGGCAGATCTCAACCTTGCTTTGGGGAAGGCAAGGTAAAACAGCCAGGACAAATGTTCCCTTATAATACCAATGAGTACACAACCCATTCAACCAAATCCTCCATTCTTTCTTCATCAAAGACCTCAAAAAAGAGACTTTCACGATTCACCTACCTCGGCCTTGAATTGCTAAAGATCTCAGAAGAGCTGAACTACTGAGTAAGGCATAAATGTAAGACTCCACTTGCAACTTTGAGAGCACAGAGGTGTAGGAATGCAGAGCGAGGGTCTGATGGAGGTGCTCAGATTTGGCATCAAATAGCTTCTTTAGCTCCCCCAGTGCATTTTCATTCATCTCTACTCTTTGGTAGCGATGATAGCCTGAAACTTTCACTTGATCTGCACAGATACCCTAGCAGTGGACAAAAGGGTAAAACAGGAAACCAGTTAACTCTTTACACGTGACATAATCAGGCATACAATGTATTATTGGCTTCAGTACCACCTTCAAAGAGCTTATAAATGATAGTGAGGGGGCAATACTGCCACACAAGAAACAATAAATCAAATCTATAATCAGGGGCCAAGAGGGATAAAGTCAATCACAAGGCATCACACGGTCAAAGAAGACAAAAGAAACCCTAAGGAGAAAATAATAGAACTTGTCTCTAGGAGTCTCACAATTGATAATCTTACCTTCAACTTTACAAACATGGAAGTCAAGCTGATATCCCCACAACTTCAAGGGACTTCAAAATATCTCTGTACCTACCCTCATCACTCTGAATCTGCTCAAAAGAAACCCCTCTCCTTTCCAATGCTAACACCCCCAGCTGTGTTCCTAAGTCTATCCTCTTTTTCAGTGTTTTCAAATGTTCCCCTGACCACAGCCTCTTTTCTGTCTACATAGAGAGATACAAAGGTCTCCCAGTGAATGAGGATCAGGGATGGGGGAAACGACATGTTTCTCCTCGATAACTTCTCCAGCCTCCCTTCACTGCCAGACTTGCCAAGAGTGGCCTTCTCTTCTTTGCCAACCTTCCCAGGCTACTGGGAAGTGGCTTCCCTTGGCCTCCACAGGGTCACCTTGGCCTCCGCAGGGCCACATCTAATTGCCTTCCTGTTTCCTCAGCCCTCAAATTTATTCCATGGATCAGCCTCTCCTTGACCCTCTCTACCCATCTGGATGTTCCGGGCATTATGCCCAAGGTTACAAACTAAATGGTCCCCAGACAGAATCTGACCTGAAAACATGACTTGCTTGGCCTCTACTCTCTATTTTGTTGCCAACAGTCAAAAATCAGGATCATTCACACAGAAATCCTGACTTCCAGCTCTTCTTAGGAAGTGAAAAGATGTGGCAATGTTGGACCATCACAAGCCCACGGCAACGATCAGCTAGAACTTAAGAGCAGCTGCCCCCACTGGGCCAGGAAGGAACTTACCCGAGGACTACCATCCCACTCAGCCCATTTCACTCCTTCAGGTCACCTGCATGGCCCCTGCGAGCATCCAACTTTGTGACTCCTACAGCACACTACTCTGCACTAGGACAGGGTCTATGTGAGTACAAGCATCCTCCAGACCTAGATGGCATCACAAGAATGGCAGCTCCTCTGCAAATGCCCCAGGTGCTGAAACGCTTTACAGAACACCAAAGTACCTGCACGGACAGCTGTTCATCCTTAAAGTGCCACAGTCGGCTTTTCGCGTTTTGGCAATCCGACGTCAGAGCAAGGAGCTCAGCCTCGGCCAGCAGCAGCTGCTTCCTACATCGCGAGTAGTTCAAAAGCAGCTCGTAAAACTCATGCCTGTCCTGATGAGCCATGCTGTCGAATTCTTCTAAATACGACTCAACGTTTTCCAGCCACGAACCAGGCTCAAAGATCTTCAGCTGTTCTTTAGTAAATGGTACTAGTTCTGGTTGAGATGGGAGCTCTGGGTAGAGTCGCTTGTTACGAAACAAGGGTTTCGCTGCCATCGAAGCTGGTACTTCTCCAGCAATTTCGGCTGGCAACTGAGGATACAGTTTTTTCACTCTAGGTGGCTGAAAAATGTCTTTGGCTTCACAAGAACTCTGCAAGCCAACATTGTGTAGCACCTCTGAAGAAAGACCCAAAGCTTGCTTGTCATCTTTCGTTTTCTGAGTTTCTCTGGCCTGTAAATTTTCCATTTCTGGCTGAGTATAAGAAAAATTAGATTGCAAGCTACCTTCGGAAGGTCCACAGAGTACCAACTGATTTTCCTCTCCTTCTGTGCAGTTCTTGGGACTTTCTACTTTGGTTCCGACACGGTCTCCAGGGCTGACCTTTAGATTCATCACATCGTCCCCAACGCGGGCTCTGACCTCCTCCCCTTCCTTTAGGGTCTCTGTGTTCCATGTCAGGGGCTCTTCGTTGCTTATAGTTAAGGAGGTGAGTGGTACATCAAACATTTCACTCTCATTTTGTCCACAGGCAGCATTCTGGAGCTGGGAATCAGTTAACACCTTCAGACAGTCTCCTTTGAATTCACAAGCTGGAGGAGGGATTGCCAGCTCTCTGGAGGGTTCTGGAAGGGAGACTTCATCAGATTCTTCCCTCTGAAGGGTTTCAGATTTCTTCTTTTCCTAAAAATGGGATTTATAATGTGAAATAATTTAAAACATTGAAGTAATAACTGATGCTTTCAACATAAGGAATTCTTAAATTGGATACAAAAATCTAAATTTTTTAAATTAGCAAATGGAATCTAAATAAACTTCATAAGTAATGTGTCTGCCTTCAACTCAGGTCATGATCTCAGGGTCCTGGGATCAAGCCCCGCATTGGGCTCTCTGCTCAGCGGGGAGCCTGCTTCCCCCTCTTTCTCTCTGCCTGCCTCTCTGCCTACTTGTGATCTCTCTCTCTGTCAAATAAATAAATAAAATCTTTAAAAACAAAAATAAGTTAACTTTAAAAAAAATAATGTGTTTCGTATTTCCCATTATAATTCAATTTTGACTATGTTAAGTGTGGGAGATTCACTAGTCTAATCGCAACAGAGAAAGACACCAAAAGCAGCAGCAAATGATGATGCAAGAAGAGAGGAGGAAAGTTTTAATTAGGTCATTCTCCATTCTCCTAGAGGTCAACAAAACAGTGTCCAAGTGGCATAGGCCTCAATCGATTTATCTTCATCTTGACAAACATATTCACTTAAAATTCAAGCAGAAATAGTCAAATAACTTGAATAATAAAAATGACTATAGTATTAGATTATAACCTACAGAATAAAATAAATATCACAAGTCCATACTGACATAAATAAATAATAAGTGAGCAAAAGTGACACTCCTCCTTACAGAACTCCAATTAGTAAATGTAGATGGAATGAGAAAAACAGGCAATCACCATTACAACGCCATGGTAATAACTGTCACGGCAAAATCTGCCGACGGACGCTAAAGTGAGTGAGTGAAAATTCAAGGAGAAACAGACACCTGGATAGCATCAAAGTATCTCCTAAATATTTAGTAATTATGAAGGGGGAAACGGTAAGGTTCTGTGGAGAATTCTGGCAAATGATACTTTAACTGTGTCATCAAGATTAATATGACCAGCAGCATAACCCCATGTGAGGTTCTGAAAAGGCCTATCACCTCTTCAAGTGTCCTTTCCAATAACATATAACTTCAATCTAAGTATAAAAAAATACCACAGAAAAACTCAAATTAGGGAACAGTCTACAAAATAACAGAAACATGGGGCCCCTGGGTGGTACAGTTAAATGCCTGACTCTTGGTTCCGGTTCAGGTCATGATCTCAGGGTCGTGAGATAGAGCCCCACATCAGGCACTGCACTCAGTGCAGAGTCTGCTAAAATTTCCATCTCCCTCTCTCCCTCCACATGCTCGCTCTCTGTCTCTCTCTCAAATAAATAAATAAACCTTAAAAAAAAAAAAGAGTAACAGAAATGTTACAGTCATCAAAGAAAAGACTGAGAAACCATCAAGAGACTGGAGGAAACAACAAAGACAGGACAACTAAGTACTCTGTAGGACCCTGGATTGGATTCTGGAATAGAGAAAGGACAGTGGTAGGAAAACTGTTGAAATCCAAGTAAGTTCTATATCTCAGTTAATAGTATTTTGCCAACATTAACTTCTTGGTTATGATAAATGTTCTACACTACAGAATTTATGATTATGTGAGAGGGTGACATCAGAGGATGCTGCATGAAGGGTATATGGAACTCTCTATACTATATTTACAACATTTCACAAAGTCTGAAATGATCTCCCAAAACACAAAGACAAAAAAAAGTTAACTGTTAAAAGAAAGTCCAATAAAATGAGTTATGGTTTAAAAAAAAAAAAAAAAAAAAACTCAGGCATTAACACACAAAGTAGATACACAAGAAAACATGCTAATAAAGAAGAAAAAAATTACAGAAGATTCTTTAAATAAAATTGTTACACTCAAACAAACTGAAAAAAAAATGCATCACTCAAACATTCCCCTTTCACTATGAAATTTTAAGAAGACAAACCTGACAGTTTCACAAGTTATCAGTGATTTTGGATTGTGCTGTCCAGCAAATGTCAAGCAAAAAAAAAGTTGACAAGAACCAAAAATCTAAGCCACTTATATGTACCTACAGTAGGAAGAAAAGATAAATGTTTTTGAAATCGAATTTGAGGTCGCTCACTGGTAATGGCTACCAAACATTTACAATGGTGGCGACTAAAGAAGTACGTGCCCCTCCAAAATTACTTTAATCTACACTGTGAATATCAGATTCAGATATGAGCCACACAATGCACACAAATGAGTCTAACTGCCTAAAATCATGAACAACAAAAAGCATTACACGAGTATTCATAAGAAAATGAAGTGGGTCTAATTACACTGCAATGATGTTTAGCACACTTCTATAGTAAGTAGGTTTGTCGGACTGGGAGGTCAGAAAGAGAAAATCAGGAGACGGAGGACCATGGTTACTACAGCGAGAGAAATGCTGGTGTACTTGTTGGGAGAAAGGCCAAATTTTAGTGAGTTGAATAATCAAAACATAAAATTAAGAAAATAATCTCATTTATAATGGGCAAAGAATAAAATAGAGATAACTTTAACAAAAGAATTGTAAAAATTGTACTCTGAAAATTGCCAAACATCATCAAAAGAAACTGAAGACTTAATAAATAGAAACACATCCCATGTTCATGGATCAGATCACGATATTGTTAAGATGGCAATCCTCCTCAAATTGATACACAAATTCAACATAATCTCAATCAAAAGTTCAGCTTTTTTTTTTTTTTTTTGCAGAAAATGACAAGCTCGATCCTTAAACTCATAAGAAAATGCAAGGGACCCAGAGCAGACAAAACAATCTTAAAGAAAAAGGACAAAGGAGATCTCATACTTTGCAACTTCAAAACCTACTATAAAACTAGAGTAATAAGGACAGTGTGGTTGCAGCATACAGACAAGTAGGTCAATGGAAGAGAACTGAGAATCCAGCAATAAAACCTTGTATTAACAGTCAACTGATTTTCAACAACGGTGCCAAGACAATATAATGAACAATGAGCAATCTTCAACACATGCTGCTTAACAACAGGATATCCAAAGGGTGAACTGGACCCTTACCTTCCATCATACACAAAAATTAATTCAAAAAGGATCACAGACCTAATGTAAGAGCTAAAACTTTACAACTCTTAGGAGAAAAAATAAGCGTAAATTTTTTTTTTTTTTTAAGATTGTATTTATTTGACTGAGAGAGGGAACACAAGCAGGGGGAGTGGGAGAGGGACAAGCAGACTTCCCACTGAACAGGGAGCCTGATGGGCTGCTAGATCCCAGGACCCTGGGATCATGACCTGAGCTGAAGGCAGACGATTAACAGCTGAGCCACCCAGACGCCCCCCAGAGATGTAAATCTTAATGACTCTGGGTTACACAGGACATCAAAAGTATAAATAGCAAAAGAAAAAAATAAATTGAACTTCATAAAAATTAAAAATATTTGTGCTGAAAATGACACCTTGAAGTGAAAAGTTAACCCACGGAATGGGAGGAAATAGTTGCAAATCAATTATCTTATAAGGGACTTATACTCAGCATAAAAAAGGAACTCTTCTAACCCAATAATAAAAAGATGAATAACCCAATGTGAAAATGGGCAAAGGATGTGAACAGACATTTCTCCAAGGGGGATATACAAATGGCCCATAGAAAGATGCTAACATCAGTAGCCATTACAGAAAAGCCAATCCAAATCATGAGACACCATGTCATGTCCAGTAGGAAAACTATTTAAAGTCAGAGAGTAAGTGACAGTAAGGATGTAAAGAAATTCGAACCTCATACACTGCTGGTGGGATTGTAACGTGATGCAGCCACTATGGAAGACAGTTCAGCAGCTCCTATGGTGATAGGTACACAACCCTAGAGTCACACTAAAAACCACCAAATTATACATTATAAATAGGTGAATTGTATAGCGTATGAATTACATCTCAAAAAGCTAGGAGAGATTTTTAAAACTTAGTGAGTTGACAAAATGAGTGAGAAGTAAGGAAGCAGAGACTGAAATGTGGAACAGAGAAGATTTTTATTTCTCTCTTCTGAAGCTGGAAGAGACCTCTAGGGGTGTTAAATGCTAACTGGAAGAGGAGACAAGGGAGCTGGAAGCAGCCACAAGACAGGCCACATGATCAAGGGCACAGAAAGCAACTACACCGCCTCCAACATGCAAGCACGAGAGCTTTCCTAGCCAACCTACCCCTCAGGCAGTTTTTAAACCCCATCTCATTCCACTCCAACACCACCTCACTCTGCCTTCTCCCCCCACTCCAGAATTGCCTTGAAATTTCAAATTCTTTCCCTCTACCAAACAAAATGAAGTGTCCAGCTGCTACTCCCAAACTTCCCTGCCCTCTCCCAGCAGCTGTAGGAACAGATAATGAGGCCAGAGAACCAAATGAATTTTTTAAAAAACTTCTTAGCCTCTCCGGAAAGAACACACAAGACTTTGTTTAGACTTTTATTTCCCCTGGGGTAGAACTCAGTGCTTCTCTGAGTTTCCAGAGTGGAACCAAAGAAAACTCTCTACCTGTCCTGGTTAGGGTAGTTGGGTCCAAAGAGAAAATAGCCTGGAGCTGGCCCAAGGAAGGAGTGAGGGAAGGACAGAGAAACTGGTGCTTCGATTCGAATGGACTATCCAGACCAGAGAAGGCAACTTGGAGGGAAGGACGGACAACCGTTTGAGCTGATGGCAAAGGCCTGACGCTGCTCCCTCGAGGATCCCAGTACAGGGACAGGACCTCTAGGTATAAATGCAGAGAGAGAGGGGACTTGCTGAGATCACCACTGATGCCAGAGCCTCAAAGGCAGTGGTGAGCGCCCTGTGGCTTACTTCACTTTCCCAAGCACCAAATAGGGGAGCAGGTCCTGAATGGTTTCCAAGCCAGCAGCCTCTGCCCCACCACCAATTCGTTCCAAGCTCCACTGTAACTTTGGCTCCCCTAAAACACTGCTCTGAACACCACAAACAGTCACAGCTCTCCACTTAATGAAAGACTGATTCTTAACTCAGTGCCTTTGATGACTCAGTTATGACCGTGCCTCCAGACAAATTCTT